AGGAGGCCTACAAAGCTGACTCAGTTACACCAGCTCTGTCAGGAGGAATGGGCCAAAATTCACCCAATTTATTGTGGGAAGCTTGTGGAAGGTTACCCGAAACGTTTGACCCAAGTTAAACAATTTAAAGGCAATGCTACCAAATACTAATTGAGTGTATGTAAACTTCTGACCCACTGGGAATGTGATGAAATAAATAAAAGCTGAAATAAATCATTCTCTCTACTATTATTCCGACATTTTACATTCTTAAAATAAAGTGGTGATCCTAACTGACCTAAGACAGGGAATTTTTACTAGGATTAATGTCAAGGTCGAGGTAAGGAGTAGACCAAGGCGCAGCGTGATGAACAAACATACTTTAATTAGTTAAAGCATCAAAATACAAAACAAAACACGACTCGTGACGTCCACGGTATCATTGACCGAACACGGAACAAAAACCCACAACCACAAAGGGAAAACATACAGTTTAAATATGGCTCCCAATCAGAGACAACCAGCCAACAGCTGACACTCGTTGCCTCTGATTGGGAGTCACTCAGGCAAACATAGAAATACAACAAACTAGAATGAACACCAACATAGAAATACACACATAGAAATGAACACACCCTGGCTCAACATAAAGAGTCCCAGAGCCAGGGTGTGACAGTACCCCCCCCTAAAGGCGCGGACTGCGACCGCGCCTCAACTAAACAAACCAGGGGAGGGCTGGGCGGGCATACCTCCTCGGCGGTGGTTCTGGCTCCGGCCTTGACCACCACCCTCCAATACACCCCCCATAGTGCCCCTGGTCCAGTCTGGCCCCGCCGGCTGGAGCAGGACTGGACTTAACAGGAGCGATCCTTACCAGGCTGTCGACTCGCACCCCTGGCTTGGTGCGTGGAGGAGGAACGGGCCTTACCAGGCTGACGACTCGCACCCCTGGCTTGGTGCGTGGAGAAGGAACGGGCCTTACCAGGCTGACTTCTCGCACCCCTGGCTTAGTGCGAGTGGCAGGAACAGGCCGGACCGGGCTGGCGACGCGCACCGTAGGTTTGGTGCGAGTGGCAGGAACAGGCCGGGTCGGGCTGGCGACGCGCACCGTAGGTTTGGTGCGAGTGGCAGGAACAGGCCGGGTCGGGCTGGCGACGCGCACCGTAGACTTGGTGCGGGTGGCAGGAACAGGCCGGACCGGGCTGGCGACGCGCACCGTAGGTTTGGTGCGAGTGGCAGGAACAGGCCGGGTCGGGCTGGCGACGCGCACCGTAGACTTGGTGCGGGTGGCAGGAACAGGCCGGACCGGGCTGGCGACGCGCACCGTAGGTTTGGTGCGGGTGGCAGGAACAGGCCGGACCGGGCTGGCGACGCGCACCGTAGGTTTGGTGCGAGTGGCAGGAACAGGCCGGGCTGGGCTGTCGACGCACACCGTAGGCTTGGTGCGTGGAGCAGGGACAGGCCGGACTGGGCTGGCGACGCACACCGTAGGCTTGGTGCGTGGAGCAGGAACAGGCCGGGCTGGGCTGTCGACGTACACCGTAGGCTTGGTGTGTGGAGCAGGGACAGGCCGGACTGGGCTGGCGACGCACACCATAGGCTTGGTGCGTGGAGCAGGGACAGGCCGGACTGGGCTGGCGACGCACACCGTAGGCTTGGTGCGTGGAGCAGGAACAGGCCGGGCTGGGCTGTTGACGCACACCGTAGGCTTGGTGCGTGGAGCAGGGACAGGCCGGACTGGGCTGGCGACGCACACCGTAGGCTTGGTGCGTGGAGCAGGGACAGGCCGGGCTGGGCTGGCGACGCACACCGTAGGCTTGGTGCGTGGAGCAGGGACAGGCCGGGCTGGGCTGGCGACGCACACCGTAGGCTTGGTGCGTGGAGCAGGGACAGGCCGAACCGGGCTGTGGAGACGGATAGGAGGCCTGGAGTGAAGAGCGGCCACCACCCGTCCTGGCTGAATGCCTACCCTCACACACTCTGTGTGAGGCATCCGCACAGGACGTACAGGGCGGTGAACCCCTGGCCTGGTGGCCTTCTGGATCCGCCCCCCTTTTCTCCTCCGTCAGCCCCGTCGTCCATGCCGTGTGCCCCCCCCTAAAAATTTTCTGGGGTTGCCTCACGACCGTCCGACGACGACCCTGATCACGCCGTTGCTCCTCTCTCCGTCGCCTCTCCACCGTCTCACTCCATGGCCGGCGATCCATCCCGGCCAGGATTTCCCCCCAAGTCCAGGACCCTTTACCGTCCAATATCTCCTCCCATGTCCAGGCTGCCTGCTCCTGGACACGCTGCTCCTCTTTCGCCAGGGCCTTTCCCGGCGCTTCTTCCCATGTCCACCCCAAGGGCTGCCCCTGGACACGCTGCTTGGTCGTTGCATGGTGGGTTTTTCTGTCAAGGTCGAGGTAAGGAGTAGACCAAGGCGCAGCGTGATGAACAAACATACTTTAATTAGTTAAAGCATCAAAATACAAAACAAAACACGACTCGTGACGTCCACGGTATCAATGACCGAACACGGAACAAAAACCCACAACCACAAAGGGAAAACATACAGTTTAAATATGGCTCCCAATCAGAGACAACCAGCCAACAGCTGACACTCGTTGCCTCTGATTGGGAGTCACTCAGGCAAACATAGAAATACAACAAACTAGAATGAACACCAACATAGAAATACACACATAGAAATGAACACACCCTGGCTCAACATAAAGAGTCCCAGAGCCAGGGTGTGACAATTAAATGTCAGGAATTGTGAAAAACTGAGTTTAAATGTATTTGGCTAAGGTGTATGTAAACTTCCGACTTCAACTGTAGATTAACAAGAATGTAAGCCTTCTGCTCATATAAGACATGTTTATGTCCTGGAAGGTTTGCTGTTACTTACAACAGTCATGCTAATCACATTAGCTCAACCGTCCTGTATACGGGACACCGATCCCATAGAGGTTAAACCATGCATTATTTTGAGTAACAGTCAGGCAATGTAGATATTAGAAGAAGAGAGTGACTTTTGGCCTATATAGAACAAAGCTCATGTTCATGTTAAATATCAAAGGTAATCATCAAAGAGCCTGAGCTCAAACTGGAGGCAAGAGATGATGCAAGGATAGTGAAACAGGCCTACTGCAGCAAATCAAAAAACCATGTTGTATTCTCATATCTGTCTAACATGCTGGCACCTGGCAAGTTCATATAGCTGATATATGATGATCGTTCTTAAACTAAGTTAATTAGTAAAAAAATATTAGGGATTAAGATCACTTTATTGGTCCGCTTTTAACCCAACCCCTCCGAAAGACACATGTATACAGGTTTTGGAGAGGTGCAGGGGGGCTGCCACACTGGGCGCTCAGGAAGCTGTTGTTGTGAGGGTTAAGTGCCTTTCTCAAGGGCACAACAGCAGGCAAATTGCAGCTAGGAATTTGATACCAGCAACCAATGGTTGCCAGCTCTTCCAGACAGATTTTTCCAGTCAGACCCAAGATTCGAAATGGCAATCCTCCGGCCACTGGTTCACCTCTCTAACCGCCAGGCTACCTGCTGCTCGGTCATGTTGTCAACAAGGCAGCATGGTGCATCGTCCAGAAATATATACAACATCTCTTTTCCGTAAAATATATTTTTTATTTTTCAAACTAGTTTTCATTGGGAAGGCAGATAAAGCATTTTTGTCAAAAGCAATCACTTTGGCTGCATTTACACAGGCATCCCAATTCTGCCTGTGTAAACACAGAATCCTACTCATTACTCCACATGCTTAATCTAGCCTAGTCTGCCACTTTTGTTTTGAGCCGATTTGCCATGGGCTTTGAACAGGGAACCTGGTTTACGCTCCAGCCTGGTCTCATAGACTAGAAGTAACATTGTAAATGTAAATCCGGGACCCTCAATTTAGTATGATATGTTACGTTTGGTATGGTTACATAAAACAGAGTATTACTTAACGCAAAAACAAAAGTAGGTTGGTTGGTCGGGAGTGGATAGGTGGGCGTATTATGCGAACGTCTATCAACCCAAAGGTTGCATGTTTGAATCTCATCATGGACAACTTTAGCTAATTAGCAACTTTGCAACGACTTACTACTTTTGAGCTACTTTACAACTACTTAGCATGTTAGCTAACCCTTCCCCTAACCTTAACCCTTTAACCTAACTCCTAACTCCTAACCTTGACCCTAACCCTAACCCCAAGCCTAGCTAGGTTGCCACCTAGCTCAATCAATCAATCAAATGTATTTATAAAGCCCTTTTTACATCAGCAGATGTCACAAAGTGCTATACAGAAACCCAGCCTAAAACCCCAAACAGCAAGCAAGCAATGCAGATGTAGAAACACGGTGGCTGGGAAAAACTCCCTAGAAAGGCAGAAACCTAGGAAGAAACCTAGAGAGGAACCAGGCTCTGAGGGGTGGCCAACATTAGCTACAACAAATTGGAATTCTTAACATATCACATTTTTTGTAAATTTGTAACGTATTGTACGAATTGCAATTCGTAACATATTATTTTGCACTATAGCCTATTTATTGCCTTACCTCCATAACTTTCTACATTTGCACACACTGTATATATATATTTTATGTTGTATTTTTGACTTTATGTTTTGTTTTACCCCATATGTAACTCTGTGTTGTTGTTTTTATCGCACTGCTTTGCTTTATCTTGGCCAGGTCGCAGTTGTAAATGAGAACAATTCGTAAAATAAATACGAATTGTAATCCGTAACATATCATACTAAATCGATTATGGACATCTACAAATTAATACATACCATACGAAACGTAACATATACTAATTGAGTGTCCCAGAATTGACATTTACTATGTTACATCTACCCATGAGTCCAGGTTGCACGCTCAGGAAGCAGCCCAGTTCCAAAACGAATTCACTTTTCACTCGGTGAAACTCTTCCCACCGGAGTAACCCGGGCCAGATAATCGAATCCCCTCAATGCTGCGCATTTTGCTTGGAGAGAAGACGCATGTAGCGGCCCACGTGACTAATTCCGGAAGCGACCTCTACATGACCAGCCTTTAGCTACACCAAATCTCTGCTCTCCCTTATCTCAAGTTCAGCTGACGTTGCTTGTTTGTGGTTGATGCCATTTTCATTTTGTTGTTAATTGTATGTCACTAATATGATGAATACGTTGACTTTGAAGGCTTTATTTGGTTGTAAATAACTATATACAGATTAGCAGCCGCAGACTACTTAATAGCACGCACACACAAACAAACATGAACACGATCATATCAGGCAGAGTGCGCAAATTAGTTTCTGCAACCTTGATACAACCTTGGATATTGCCGATTATTACCGCCCCAAAGGTAAGCAAACGATCAAAGTCTCAAGGAAGAAGTTTGACATGGTAAAAAAAAAATAACACTGTCTTGTGCATGTAAACAAGTTGTCGTTGGTTACAATGTTGCAACGGTAGCCTGCAAGTAAAATGTTGGGTTACAATGTTGCAAGGGTAGTTTGCAGGTTGGATTGTGGAGTGAGGATTTACTCCTACTCTATAGCATTGGGAGGAAGTGATTTTTTACTCAGTGCTATAATCGTATTTTCCATTTGTAGGATGTATTCACTGCATTTGCATGAAGGAAATCTGTTTTGCTACCCTAAATCTGAAACTGTTGTCGTTACAGGTCCAGCTCTCCACTCTACCCACTGAGCCTGTCATCGCTGCCAAAAAGCCTTTCAAGGTGGAGCTTGTAGGTGGAAAGCGTCACTCATGGTGCGCTTGTGGACACAGCAAGAAACAGGTGAAGGCACTACAATCATGCTTTACATTGGCCACCATGTGCCCATCGCTTTCAATGAAACAGGTTCATTGAATTCTGTCATGATCCGCTTGTTTGCGATGAAATGGAATTGGATCAGATTGGCTTTAGCATACCAAAGCAGCAGATTATTCAGGAATGACCACAAAATCTAGCAGCAGTAGCTAATTTAGCATTAGAGGTCCTCAATCCCTGGCTTGTTTCTCCTGTCTTTCTGTCTTAGCCTTTCTGTGATGGAGCCCACAAGACTAAAGCCCAGGGCCTGATGCCTCTGCGCTTCGTCCCTGAGAAGGACTCCAAAGCTTGGCTGTGTGGCTGCAAGTACACCGCTAACCCACCATACTGCGACGGCACTCACAAGCAGGAATTCATCCAGTCTGCCCTGCTCCCAGTGAACACACACTCCTGAATGGATAGGAGCTGATTGTTTTTGTCCAATTCACTGTGGTGTGGGTCCTCTGAGTTCTGGTCCTGGAGATGGAGGACCAGAATCACTGGTTCAGAAGGTAGCGCTAGCAATTGGGTGATTGACGGCGAACAGATGACATATACATATCTGACATACTGTGACATGCTTAGATCTGATGTGAAAAGATCTGATGTGATTGGTCAAAAGACCAATTAGTGGGGGAAAAAATTCAGAATTGAGCTGCCTGTCTAAACGCAGTCTTAGGGCCCTCATTAGTATATCATGGGAAACCATTGTTTTCCACTCTGGGCTTAGCACTTGCTTTGAACAAATCTCCCCACGTCATCCATACAAGATTTGCATGACATAAGAGCTCTGTGAACAACTCAATTAAGGGTTCATCCCATGATAAGCAATCTGCAAAGTGATACTTGTAATGGGGCAATTACACAATAACAGAATTATGCTGAGATTCAGATATTTCACTTTAAAATGTGTCAAGCAAAAACCAATAATTACAAAGTTAAACAAACCATACAACTTCATGCACAAGGACTAGTTTTAACAATTTCCACAGAACATTTTACAAAAACACATTTACTTGAACAGTGCAGATGCAAAGTTTGGTAACAGAATTACAGTTTGTACCGTCATTCTTTGCAATCATTGGTTATTGTTTGGCTTATATTTAAAAGTGAAAAATCAGTCTCAGCATCATTCTGTTACTGTGGAATTGCCCTGTGTGGTATGCACTGGGTGCTTCTGTAAATGTTTGAAATTGTGATGTTTCATTTTAATGCTCAGCTAATGATACGCACAAGTATTGTGATGGACTGTTTCTCAAAATCAAGAATTGTAATAGAACACTAAATCTTAGGCTTGCTGTGAGATGAATTGTTTAATATGTATTTTTATAGCTCTAAAAACTGAGTATTATTCCCTCCATGATGTATTCTTCTGTCTGTGTTGAAATTAAAACAATCAAATGTATTTTTATTTTTTACTTTCCCTTAGCTCTGAATTACGGTCACATTTTGCCATGTTATATCCTCTGTTCACTTATGCAGAAATGCAATGTTTCAACCTAAAACATCTGCATTGAAGTCATGAAAATCCACAGATTCTTTGGAGAGTTGCCATGGATCCCAACTTAAAATCAAGTTAAACATTCCTAAATAGATGCACAATCATAATATATGCTTTAAAGTTCTGCTACTCATGAATTGTTGTTGATAGCAATTTAACAGATTTCTATGTATTAAAGGTCCACATTTAGACTTATTACAGGAGCAAGTTGTGACATTTGAACTACTTCAAGAATATATCCATAAAACTAATCAGAATGGGACACTGGACTCAAAACCAAGTAAGTCAACTTTTTTAATGACCTAAACATGCACATATGGCTGATATTTTAAAATAATATAATTGAATGGTCAAAATATACATTGAGGGAATGTCAAAAGTGTATGAAAATACATGGTCAGATATACAATTCCCTTTGAGCTAATTGATGTGAGTAGAACGGGTACTGATATGTAATGTTGACAAACATGTACGGTAAGCTACGTTTTTCAGACAATTGTAGTGCTGCTTGAGGCTTGATAAATATAATGGCTTTTCTAATGTCAAAGCACAGGGAAGTTCAGTACTCATATACTGTGATCTGTATTTCACTCAAAGAAAGTGCATCAAACGTTAAGTACATATCTATTGTCCTTGGTGATTGGGGCCATTACCAGTTGAAAGTACTGCATCTATCTACATACACCAGAGTTATTATATACAGTATGACTGACGGCAAGAAGACAGATCTTGCCTTTTTATTTCTAGTTTATATATATATATATATACAGTGGGGAGAACAAGTATTTGATACACTGCCGATTTTGCAGGTTTTCCTACTTACAAAGCATGTAGAGGTCTGTAATTTTTATCATAGGTACACTTCAACTGTGAGAGACGGAATCTAAAACAAAAATCCAGAAAATAACATTGTATGATTTTTAAGTAATTAATTAGCATTTTATTGACATAAGTATTTGATCACCTACCAACCAGTAAGAATTCCGGCTCTCACAGACCTGTTAGTTTTTCTTTAAGAAGCCCTCCTGTTCTCCACTCATTACCTGTATTAACTGCACCTGTTTGAACTCGTTACCTGTATAAAAGACACCTGTCCACACACTCAATCAAACAGATTCCAACCTCTCCACAATGGCCAAGACCAGAGAGCTGTGTAAGGACATCAGGGATAAAATTGTAGACCTGCACAAGGCTGGGATGGGCTACAGGACAATAGGCAAGCAGCTTGGTGAGAAGGCAACAACTGTTGACGCAATTATTTGAAAATGGAAGAAGTTCAAGATGACGGTCAATCACCCTCGGTCTGGGGCTCCATGCAAGATTTCACCTCGTGGGGCATCAATGATCATGAGGAAGGTGAGGGATCAGCCCAGAACTACACGGCAGGACCTGGTCAATGACCTGAAGAGAGCTGGGACCACAGTCTCAAAGAAAACCATTAGTAACACACTACACCGTCATGAATTAAAATCCTGCAGCGCACGCAAGGTCCCCCTGCTCAAGCCAACGCATGTCCAGGCCCGTCTGATGTTTGCCAATGACCATCTGGATGATCCAGAGGAGGAATGGGAGAAGGTCATGTGGTCTGATGAGACAAAAATAGAGCTTTTTGGTCTAAACTCCACTCGCCGTGTTTGGAGGAAGAAGAAGGATGAGTACAACCCCAAGAACACCATCCCAACCGTGAAGCATGGAGGTGGAAACATCATTCTTTGGGGATGCTTTTCTGCAAAGGGGACAGGACGACTGCACCGTATTGAGGGGAGGATGGATGGGGCCATGTATCGCGAGATCTTGGCCAACAACCTCCTTCCCTCAGTAAGAGCATTGAAGATGGGTCGTGGCTGGGTCTTCCAGCATGACAACAACCCGAAACACACAGCCAGGGCTACTAAGGAGTGGCTCCATAAGAAGCATCTCAAGGTCCTGGAGTGGCCTAGCCAGTCTCCAGACCTGAACCCAATAGAACATCTTTGGAGGGAGCTGAAAGTCCGTATTGCCCAGCGACAGCCCCGAAACCTGAAGGATCTGGAGAAGGTCTGTGGGCCAAATTCTGCTGCAGTGTGTGCAAACCTCGTCAAGACCTACAGGAAACGTATGATCTCTGTAATTGCAAACAAAGGTTTCTGTACCAAATATTAAGTTCTGCTTTTCTGATGTATCAAATACTTATGTCATGCAATAAAATGCAAATTAATTACTTAAAAATCATACAATGTGATTTTCTGGATTTTTGTTTTAGATTCCGTCTCTCACAGTTGAAGTGTACCTATGATAAAATGACAGACCTCTACATGCTTTGTAAGTAGGAAAACCTGCAAAATCAGCAGTGTATCAAATACTTGTTCTCCCCACTGTGTATATATATATTACTACCAGTCAAAAGATTGGACACATACTCATTCAAGGGTTTTTCTTTATTTTTACATTGTAGAATGAAATAACACATGGAATCATGTAGTAACCAAAACAGTGTTAAACAAATCAAAATATATTTTATATTAGAGATTTTTCAAATAGCCACCCTTTGCCTTGATGACAACTTTGCACACTCTTGGCATTCTCTCAACCAGCTTCATGAGGTAATCACCTGGAATGCATTAAAATTAACAGGTGTGCCTTAAGTTCATTTGTGGAATTTATTTCCTTCTTAATGCATTTGAGCCAATCAGTTGTGTTGTGAAAAGGTTGGGGGGGTATACAGAAGATGGCCCTATTTAATAACACACAAGTCCAAGAGAACAGCGTGAAGTATGGGAATAGTAGAGCTAGTCCACCTAAAAGACAATCCATATTATGGCAAGAACAGCTCAAATGAGCAAAGAGAAATGACAGTCCATCATTACTTTAACATATGAAGGTCAGTCAATACGGAACATTTCAATAACTTTGAAGGTTTCTTCAAGTGCAGTCGCAAAAACCATCAAGCGCTATGATAAAACTGGCTCTCGTGAGGACCGCCACAGGAATGGAAGACCCAGAGTTACCTCTGCTGCAGAGGATAAGTTAGAGTTACCAGCCTCAGAAATGGCAGCCCAAATAAATGCTTCACAGAGTTCAAGTAACAGACACATCTCAACATCAACTGTTCAGAGGGGACTGTGTGAATCAGGCCTTCATGGTCGAATTGCTGCAAAGAAACCACTACTAAAGGACACCAATAAGAAGAAGAGACATGCTTGGGCCAAGAAACACGAGCAATGGACATTAGACCGGTGGAAATTTGTCCTTTGGTCTGGAGTCCAAATGTGAGATTTTTGGTTCAAACCGCCGTGTCTTTGTGAGACGCATGAGTAGGTGAACGGATGATCTCCGCATGTGTGGTTCCCACCGTGAAGCAAGGAGGAGGCGAGGTTATGGTGTGGGGGTGCTTTGCTGGTGACACTGTCTGTGATTTTTTTCGAATTCAAGGCACACTTAACCAGCATGGCTACCACAGCATTCTGCAGCGATCCGCCATCCCATCTGGTTTGGGCTTAATGGGACTATCATTTGTTTTTCAACAGGACAATGACCCAACACACCTCCAGGCTGTGTAAGGGCTATTTGACCAAGAAGGAGAGTGATGGAGTGCTGCATCAGATGACCTGGCCTCCACAATCCCCCAACGTCAACCCAATTGAGATGGTTTGGGATCAGTCAGACGGCAGAGGGAAGGAAAAGCAGCCAACAAGTGCTCAGCATATGTGGGAACTCCCTCAAGACTGTTAGAAAAGCATTTCAGTTGAAGCTGGTTGAGAGAATGTCTAGAGTGTGCAAAGCTGTCATCAAGGCAAAGGGTGGCTATATGAAGAATGTCAAATATAAAATATATACACTTTTTTGGTTACATGATTCCATGTGTTATTTCATAGTTTTGATGTCTTCAAAATTAAGAAAAACCCTTGAGTTAGTGTGTCCAAACTTTTGACTGGTACTAATATATATATATATATATATATATATATATATATATATATATATATAGATAGACATTCGCATTGCAATGCCATTCAGCATTTTGTCAAAATGTATATTTAAAAGCCAAATTAACTTGGGGGAATCGGAGAACCGACTGCATATTATACAGTTACAAAACAATTACAATATCCTGTATAAAAGATACTCTATATACATGACCATGTAGGCACGAATGCTCACATTGGATACATACTGTACATTTTGTATGCATGTTTTACTCTAACACACAGTCACACACATTGAAATGAAATGTCTATTTGGCTGCACTTGACAGTCTTTTTGCTGATCACAATTGCCCTCTCCCTCAGTACTCTCTTGGCAGACTTTCTCCTTGTCTGTCCCATTTGTCCATTGAGGGGCTACTCTCTGACATTTTGGGGCAATTCCATTCCACTCTCCATGTTTCTGGGATGTATCAGATTTAGGTTGGGGGTGGTACAGCCGCTTTGTCCCCTCCCCTAGTCTCAGTCGCCGCTCCATTGCTTTTGCCGTTGACGTTCACCTTGCGGGCGTTGCTCCCTGACTTGGAGGCTAGAGGGAGCCGTTGAGTGCCATTGGGTCCTGTGGTACCGCTGGGGCTCTGAAGGGTAGAGGGTTGGCCTCGGAGGGCAGGGCTGGGCAGGGTGGAGGCTTTGGGGGCCTGACCGGCCGGGCTCAGGGTCTTGTCACTGTGGGAGTCGCTCTCAGAGGTGGGGCTAGTGTTGACACCGTCGGAGTGGGCCTGGGCAGCACCCTGGGACAGCCTTCGACGCTTCCGGGTGGGCTTCACCCAGTATTGCAGGGGGAGGGGGCCATTCTGCAAAAAGAGTCACAGAGAGAGGATGAGAACTCTCCAGACACGTGAAAGATCACTCAGATCCTAGGATCTAACCACGTAGATGTCACGTAGATGTGGTCCTCTGTAGCTCAGCTGGTAGAGCACGGCGCTTGTAACGCTAAGGTGGTGGGTTCGATCCCCGGGACCACACATACACAAAAAAATGTATGCACGCATGACTGTAAGTCGCTTTGGATAAAAGCGTCTGCTAAATGGCATATTATTATTATTATTATTATTAGTAGTAGTAGTAGTAAAATTGGGATTAGGGTTGGAAATGACAACTGAAGCTTGGTAAGTGTTGGTGTTATAGCCAGTGTGTCAATTGGCACTTACACGTCGCCAAGAATACATGTAGGCAATATCCATCAGCGTGTAGTAGTCCTTTAAGGGCTCATCAGCGTACAGCACTTCAATCTGTCAAGGTAGAGAGCACTATTACAGATTAATAACACAGTCCAAGAGAACAGCGTGAAGTATGGGAATAGTAGAGCTAGTCCACCTAAGCGAAAGCATGCATGATCTAATGTATAGGAATGCAGCTTGTAACTAAAATACAGTATTGAGACAAAGTTGTTGTTGGTGTATACTAGAGCTTTCTATGGAGTTGTGAGGCGATGCTGTGCAGCCTGTAGGAATTACCCGTAAGGTGTTTGGAATGTCCATCTTGCTACGCAGGAACTTGGCTAAGTGCAGGACTGTCATGGCTGCCGGGCATTGCAGGAAGCGCTTGCTGTTGGTCTGGAAATTAAGAGAACAGTACGCGTGGTTTGAACAGATTTATAACTAGAGGGTAAGGGCAGGACACAATATGAAAGGTCCTGTATGGCTCAGTTGGTAGAGCATGGCGCTTGCAATGTATGCACGCATGACTAAGTTGCTTTGGATAAAAGCGTATGCTAAATGGCATTCATTATTATTTAGAAAGTGTGGATGAGAAATTGACGTTAGTGTTTGCATGTATATTGGGTTAGTATTTTATGGTTGAATCACTCACATTGTCTCCTTCTGTATCCACAGGTTGTGTGTCACTTCTATAGGCAAATAGAAAAACAACATGGGTTAAGATGAGCATAGCTTTGTTTTGAACTGCTTTTTTTACCCATCTTTCTGTTAACAAACTTATTAGCACGTAGCGATACAGCACTATTGTAACCTATAATTTGCTCTGTTCTATACTATAGGAAACAGAAACATCCTATCTAATTGGTTGCATGAAAAAGATTGAGATCACACGTTCTAGAACGTACTTATTCTTCTCATGGAACTGAATGGAGAGACTGATGATTTCATCTTCTGCAATAATAGTTGGCTCCTCCACCACTTCTCCTGGCTCCAGGTGTTGGTTTTCCTGGTTTGTGTAGAAGTCTCGCCTTCGTTTCATCTCATCTGATGTAAACAAAACAATAGAAGTCATTAGAGTGAAAGACATTGGCACATGTCCGCTTTAAATTATTAAAGGGGGCAACTGTTCATGGGCAAAGTCTCAAACAGGCTTATTATACTGTAATTAGCACTAAATTAGCTCCTTGTAAAATACTGCAATGTCCACTGAGCAAAAATATAAACGGAACATGTAACGTGTTGGTCCCATTTTTCATGAACTGAAATAAAAGATCCCAGAAATGTTCCATACGCACAAAAGCCTTATTTCTCTTAAATGTTGTGCACACATTTGTTTACATCCCTGTTAGTGAGCATTTCTCCTTTGCCAAAATAATCCATCCACCTGACAGGTGTGGCATATCAAGAAGCGGATTAAACAGCATGATCATTACACAAGTACACCTTGTGCTGGGGACATTAAAAGGCCACTGTAAAATGTGCAGTTTTGTCACACAACACAATGCCACAGATGTCTCAAGTTTTGATGGAGCGTACAATTGGCATGCTGACTGCAGGAATGTCCAACAGAGCTGTTGCCAGAGAATTGAATGTTAATTTCTACCATAAGCTGCCTCCAACATTGTTTTAGAGAATTTGGCAGTACGTCCAACAGATTACAACATCTCACTTTCGGTTATTTGAAAATGAAATAATCTCCAAAATATCGCTATTTTTAAAACAAGCCATAGACAGTTGGTTGTAATTTCAGTTTAATCCACCAGAAAAGACTGAACAAATATTACAACAAATATTATGGTTAAACTCAAATATACTAATTGATCAAATAAACATTTTTGGAGGAAACAGTATAATCTTTGTAAATTATATCATAAATAGGACTGGTGGAGTTATGTCACACATGCAGCTAACAAAAATATATGGAAATGTCTGCTCTATCCAAAATTACAACCAACTAATTGCAACATTACCGCAAAAATGGAAGAGGGAGAAAGTAAAGAACCCGTCTGTCGGCCCTGCATTAAAGACCAAAATTGGTTAAAGAAAATTGTGATAAAAAGTATACCAGTTTAATTTAAGGACCAAAAAATGGACAGCTGTGCCATACAGATGGCAAAATAGTTGGGAAGAGATTTTCCATGTACTGATTCTATGGCACATGGTTTATGAACTGATACACAAAATGACACCGGATTCAAAACTTTTGAGTTTTTCCCATTTAAATTATTATACACAATTCTTGCAAACAATAGTATGATATATATATATATATACACACACACACTACCGTTCGAAAGTTTGGGGTCACTTAGTTTTCCTTGTTTTCGAAAGAAAAGCAACTTTTTGTGCATTAAAATAACATTAAATTGATCAGAAATACAGTGTAGACATTGTTCATGTTGTAAATGGCTATTGTAGCTGGAAACGGCTGATTTTTTATGGAATATCTACATAGGCGTACAGAGGCCCATTATCCGCAACCATCAGTCCTGTGTTCCAATGGCACCTTGTGTTTGCTAATCCATGTTTATCATTTTAAAAGGCTAATTGATCATTAGAAAACCCTTTTGCAATTATGTTAGCACAGCTGAAAACAGTTGTGCTGATTAAAGAAGCAATAAAACTGGCCTTCTTGAGACTAGTTGAGTATCTGGAGCATCAGCAATTGTGGGTTCGATTACAGAATCAAAATGGCCAGAAACAAAGAACCTTCTTCTGAAACTTGTCAGTCTATTCTTGGTCGGAGAAATGAAGGCTATTCCATGCGAGAAATTGCCAAGAAACGGAAGATCTCGTACAACGCTGTGTACTACTCCCTTCACAGAACAGCGCACACTGGCTCTAACCAGAATAGAAAGAGGACTGGGAGGCCCCGGTGCACAACTGAGCAAGAGGACAAATACATTAGTGTCTAGTTTGAGAAACAGACGCCTCACAGGTCCTCAACTGGCAGCTTCATTAAATAGTACCCGCAAAACACCAGTCTCAACGTCAACAGTGAAGAGGCGACATGGGATGCTGACCTTCTAGGCAGAGTTGCAAAGAAAAAGCCATATCTCAGACTGGCCAATAAAAAGAAAAGACTAAGATGGGCAAAAGAACACAGACACTGGACAGAGGAAGATTGGAAAAAAGTTATGGACAGACAAATCGAAGTTTGAGGTGTTCGAATCACAAAGAAGAACATTTGTGAGACGCAGACCAAATGAAAAGATGTTGGAGGAGTGCTTGATGCCATCTGTCAAGCATGGTGGATGCAATGTGATGGTCTGGGGGTGCTTTGGTTGTGGTTAAGTGGGAGATTTGTACAGGGTAAAAGGGATCTTGAAGAAGGAAGGCTATCACTCCATTTTGCAACGCCATGCCATACCCTGTGGACGGCTCTTAATTGGAGCCAATTTCCTCCTACAACAGGACAATGACCCAAAGCACAGCTCCAAACTATGCAATAACTATTTAGGGAAGAAGCAGTCAGCTGGTATCCTGTCTATAATGGAGTGGCCAGCACAGTCACCGGATCTCAACCCTATTGAGCTGTTGTGGGAGCAGCTTGACCATATGGTACGTAAGAAGTGCCCATCAAGCCAATCCAACTTGTAGGAGGTGCTTCAGGAAGCATGGGGTGAAATCTCTTCAGATTACCTCAACAAACTGACAACTAGAATGACAAAGGTCTGCAAGGCTGTAATTGCTGCAAATGGAGGATTCTTTGACGAAAGCAACGTTTTTGAAGGACACAATTATTATTTCAATTAAAAATCATTATTTCTAACCTTGTCAATGACTACATTTCCTATGCATTTTGCTATATTTCCTATTCAAACTCATTTCATGTATGTTTTCATGGACCCCAAACTTTTGAACGGTAGTGTGTATATACAGTGGGGAAAAAAAGTATTTAGTCAGCCACCAATTGTGCAAGTTCTCCAACTTAAAAAGATGAGAGAGGCCTGTAATTTTCATCATAGGTACACGTCAACTATGACAGACAAAATGAGGGAAAAAAATCCAGAAAATCACATTGTAGGATTTTTTATGAATTTATTTGCAAATTATGGTGGAAAATAAGTATTTGGTCAATAACAAAAGTTTCTCAATACTTTGTTATATACCCTTTGTTGGCAATGACACAGGTCAAACGTTTTCTGTAAGTCTTCACAAGGTTTTCACACACTGTTGCTGGTATTTTGGCCCATTCCTCCATGCAGATCTCCTCTAGAGCAGTGATGTTTTGGGGCTGTCGCTGGGCAACACAGAATTTCAACTCCCTCCAAAGATTTTCTATGGGGTTGAGATCTGGAGACTGGCTAGGCCACTCCAGGACCTTGAAATGCTTCTTACGAAGCCACTCCTTCGTTGCCCGGGCGGTGTGTTTGGGATCATTGTCATGCTGAAAGACCCAGCCACGTTTCATCTTCAATGCCCTTGCTGATGGAAGGAGGTTTTCACTCAAAATCTCACGATACATGGCCCCATTCATTCTTTCCTTTACACGGATCAGTCGTCCTGGTCCCTTTGCAGAAAAACAGCCCCAAAGCATGATGTTTCCACCCCCATGCTTCACAGTAGGTATGGTGTTCTTTGGATGCAACTCAGCATTCTTTGTCCTCCAAACATGACGAGATGAGTTTATACCAAAAAGTTATATTTTGGTGTCATCTGACCATATGACATTCTCCCAATCCTCTTCTGGATCATCCAAATGCACTCTAGCAAACTTCAGACGGGGCTAGACATGTACTGGCTTAAGCAGGGGGACACGTCTGGCAATGCAGGATTTGAGTCCCTGGCGGCGTAGTGTGTTACTGATGGTAGGCTTTGTTACTTTGTTCCCAGCTCTCTGCAGGTCATTCACTAGGTCCCCCCGTGTGGTTCTGGGATTTTTGCTCACCGTTCTTGTGATCATTTTGACCCCACGGGGTGAGATCTTGCGTGGAGCCCCAGATCGAGGGAGATTATCAGTGGTCTTGTATGTCTTCCATTTCCTAATAATTGCTCCCACAGTTGATTTCTTCAAACCAAGCTGCTTACCTATTGCAGATTCAGTCTTCCCAGCCTGGTGCAGGTCTACAATTTTGTTTCTGGTGTCCTTTGACAGCTCTTTGGTCTTGGCCATAGTGGAGTTTGGAGTGTGACTGTTTGAGGTTGTGGACAGGTGTCTTTTATACTGATAACAAGTTCAAACAGGTGCCATTAATACAGGTAACGAGTGGAGGACAGAGGAGCCTCTTAAAGAAGAAGTTACAGGTCTGTGAGAGCCAGAAATCTTGCTTGTTTGTAGGTGACCAAATACTTATTTTCCACCATAATTTGCAAATAAATTCATAAAAAATCCTACAATGTGATTTTCTGGATATTTTTTTCTCAATTTGTCTGTCATAGTTGACGTGTACCTATGATGAAAATTACAGGCCTCTCTCATCTTTTTAAGTGGGAGAACATGCACAATTGGTGGCTGACTAAATACTTTTTTTCCCCACTGTATACAGTTGAAGTCGGAAGTTTACATACACTTAGGTTGTAGTCATTAAAACTTGTTTTTCAACCACTCCACAAATGTCTTGTTAACAAACTATAGTTTTGGCAAGTCGGTTAGGACATCTACTTTGTGCATGACACAAGTAATCTTTCCAACAATTGTTTACAGACAGATTATTTCACTTATAATTCACTGTATCACAATTCCAGTGGGTCAGAAGTTTACATACACTAAGTTGACTGTGCCTTTCAACAGCTTGGGAAATTCCAGAAAATGATGTCACGGCTTTAAAAGCTGATAGGCTAATTGACATTTGAATCAATTGGAGGTGTACCTGTGTATGTATTTCAAGGCCTACCTTCAAACTCAGTGCCTCTTAGCTTGACATCTTGGGAAAATCAAAAGAAATCAACCAAGACCTCAGAAAAAAATATGTAGACCCCCACAAGTCTGGTTCATCCTTGGGAGCAATTTCCAAACGCCTGAAGGTACCACCTTCATCTGTACAAACAACAGTACGCAAGTATAAACACCATGGGACCACGCAGCCATCATACCGCTCAGGAAGGAGAAGCGTTCTGTCTCCTAGAGATGAATGTACTTTGGTGCGAAAAGTGCAAATCAATCCCAGAACAGCAGCAAAGGATCTTGTGAAGATGCTGGAGGAAACAGGTACAAAAGTATCTATATCCACAGTAAAACAAGTCCTTTATCGACATGACCTGAAAGGCCGCTCAGCAAGGAAGAAGCCACTGCTCCAAAACCGCCATAAAAAAGCCAGACCACGGTTTGCAACTGCACATGGGGACAAAGATCGTACTTTTTGGAGAAATGTCCTCTGGTCTGATGAAACAAAAATAGAACTGTTTGGCCATAATGACCATCGTTATGTTTGAAGGAAAAAGGGGGTAACTTGCAAGCCGAAGAACACCATCCCAACCGTGAAATACGGGGGTGGCAGCATTATGCTGTGGGGATGCTTTGCTGCAGGAGGGACTGGTGTACTTCACAAAATAGATGGCATCATGAGGAAGGAAAATTATGTGGATATATTGAAGCAACATCTCAAGACATCAGTCAGGAAGTTAAAGCTTGGTCGCAAATGGGTCTTCCAAATGGACAATGACCCTAAGCATACTTCCAAAGTTGTAGCAAAATGGCTTAAGGACAACAAAGTCAAAGTTTTGGAGTGGCCATCACAAAGCCCTGACCTCAATCCTATAGAAAATGTGTGGGCAGAACTGAAAAAGCGTGTGCGAGCAAGGAGGCCTACAAACCTGACTCAGTTACACCAGCTCTGTCAGGAGGAATGGGCCAAAATTCACCCAACTTATTGTGGGAAGTTTGTGGAAGGCTATCCGAAACATTTGACCCAAGTTAAACAATTTAAAGGCAATGTTACCAAATACTAATTGAGTGTATGTAAACTTCTGACCCACTGGGAATGTGTTGAAATAAATAAAAGCTTAAATAAATCATTCTCTACTATTATTCAGACATTTCACATTCTTAAAATAAAGTGGTGATCCTAACTGACCTAAAACAGGGAATTTTTACTAGGATTAAATGTCAGGAATTGTGAAAAACTGAGTTTAAATGTATTTGGCTAAGGTGTATGTAAACTTCTGACTTCAACTGTATACAGTGGGGGAAAAAAGTATTTAGTCAGCCACCAATTGTGCAAGTTCTTCCACTTAAAAATATGAGAGAGGCCTGTAATTTTCATCATAGGTACACGTCAACTATGACAGACAAAATGAGGGGAAAAAATCCAGAAAATCACATTGTAGGATTTTTAATGAATTTATTTGCAAATTATGGTGGAAAATAAGTATTTGGTCACCTACAAACAAGCAAGATTTCTGGCTCTCACAGACCTGTAACTTCTTCTTTAAGAGGCTCCTCTGTCCTCCACTCGTTACCTGTATTAATGGCACCTGTTTGAACTTGTTATCAGTATAAAATACACCTGTCCACAACCAAGAACAGTCACACTCCAAACTCCACTATGGCCAAGACCAAAGAGCTGTCAAAGGACACCAGAAACAAAATTGTAGACCTGCACCAGGCTGGGAAGACTGAATCTGCAATAGGTAAGCAGCTTGGTTTGAAGAAATCCACTGTGGGAGCAATTATTAGGAAATGGAAGACATACAAGACCACTGATAATCTCCCTCGATCTGGGGCTCCACGCAAGATCTCACCCCGTGGGGTCAAAATGATCACAAGAACGGTGAGCAAAAATCCCAGAACCACACGGGGGGACCTAGTGAATGACCTGCAGAGAGCTGGGACCAAAGTAACAAAGCCTACCATCAGTAACACACTACGCCGCCAGGGACTCAAATCCTGCAGTGCCAGACATGTCCCCCTGCTTAAGCCAGTACATGTCCAGGCCCGTCTGAAGTTTGCTAGAGTGCATTTGGATGATCCAGAAGAGGATTGGGAGAATGTCATATGGTCAGATGAAACCAAAATAGAACTTTTTGGTAAAAGCTCAACTCGTTGTGTTTGGAGGACAAAGAATGCTGAGTTGCATCCAAAGAACACCATACCTACTGTGAAGCATGGGGGTGGAAACATCATGCTTTGGGGCTGTTTTTCTGCAAAGGGACTAGGACGACTGATCCGTGTAAAGGAAAGAATGAATGGGGCCATGTATCGTGAGATTTTGAGTGAAAACCTCCTTCTATCAGCAAGGGCATTGAAGATGAAACGTGGCTGGGTCTTTCAGCATGACAATGATCCCAAACACACCGCCCGGGCAACGAAGGAGTGGCTTCGTAAGAAGCATTTCAAGGTCCTGGAGTGGCCTAGCCAGTCTCCAGATCTCAACCCCATAGAAAATCTTTGGAGGGAGTTGAAAGTCCGTGTTGCCCAGCGACAGCCCCAAAACATCACTGCTCTAGAGGAGATCTGCATGGAGGAATGGGCCAAAATACCAGCAACAGTGTGTGAAGACTTACAGAAAACGTTTGACCTGTGTCATTGCCAACAAAGGGTATATAACAAAGTATTGAGAAACTTTTGTTATTGACCAAATACTTATTTTCCACCATAATTTGCAAATAAATTCATAGAAAATCCTACAATGTGATTTTCTGGAGAAAAAAGATCTAATTTTGTCTGTCATAGTTGACGTGTACCTATGATGAAAATTACAGGCCTCTCTCATCTTTTGAAGTGGGAGAACTTGCACAATTAGTGCCTGACTAAATACTTTTTCCCCCCACTGTACATATACACACACACACACAGTACCAGTCAAAGGTTTGGACACACCTACTCATTCCAGGGTTTTTCTTTATTTTGACTATTTTCTACATTGTACAATAATAGTGAAGACATCAAAACTATGAAATAACACCTATAGAATCATGTAGTAACCAAAAAAAGTGTTAAATAAATCAAAATATATTTTATATTTGAGATTCTTCAAAGTAGCCACCCTTTGCCTTGATGACAGCTTTGCACACTCTTGGCATTCTCTCAACCAGCTTCATGAGGTAGTCACCTGGAATGCATTTCAATTAACAGGTGTGCCTTGTTAAAAGTTAATTTGTGGAATTTCTTTCCTTCTTAATGCGTTTGAGACAATCAGTTGTGTTGTGACATGGTAGGGGTGGTATACAGAAAATAGCCCTATTTGGTAAAAGACCAAGTCCATATTACGGCAAGAACAGCTCAAATAACAAAGAGAAACAACCGTCCATCATTACTTTAAGACATGAAGGTCAGTCAATCTGGGAAATTTGAAGAACTTTTAAAGTTTCTTCAAGTGCAGTCGCAAAAACCATCAAGCGCTATGATGAAACTGGCTCTCATGAGGACCGCCACAGGAAAGGAAGACCCAGAGTTACCTCTGCTGCAGAGGATAAGTTCATTAGAGTTACCAGCCTCAGAATTGCAGCCCAAATAAATGTTTCACAGAGTTCAAGTAACAGACACATCTCAACATCAACTGTTCAGAGGAGACTGTGTGAATCAGGCCTTCATGGTTGAATTGCTGCAAAGAAACCACTACTAAAGGTCACCAATAAGAAGAAGAGACATGCTTGGGCCAAGAAACACGAGCAATGGACATTAGACCGGTGGAAATCTGTCCTTTGGTCTGATGAGTTCAAATGTGAGATTTTTGGTTCCAACCGCCGTGTCTTTGTGAGACGCATGAGTAGGTGAACGGATTATCTCTGCATGTGTGGTTCCCACCGTGAAGCATGGAGGAGGAAGTGTGATGGTGCTTTGCTGGTGACACTGTCTGTGATTTATTTAGAATTCAAGGCACACTTAACCAGCATGGCTACCACAGCATTCTGCAGCGATAAGCCATCCCATCTGGTTTGCGCTTAGTGTGATTTGTATTTGTTTTTCAACAGGACAATGACCCAAAACACACCTCCAGGCTCTGTAAGGGCTATTTGACCAAGGAGAGTGATGGAGTGCTGCATCAGATGACCTGGCCTCCACAATCACCCGACCTCAACCCAATTGTGATGGTTTGGGATGAGTTGGACCGCAGAGTGAAGGAAAAGCAGCCAACAAGTGCTCAGCATATGTGGGAACTCCTTCAAGACTGTTGGAAAAGCATTCCAGTTGAAGCTGGTTGAGAGAATGCCAAGAGTGTACAAAGCTGTCATCAAGGCAAAGGGTGGCTACTTTGAAGAATCTCAAATATATAACATATTTTGATTTAACACTTTTTTGGTTACTACATGATTCCATGTGTTATTTCATAGTTATGTCTTCACTATTATTCTACAATGTAGAAATTTGTAAAAATAAAGTGGTACTGGTACTGTTTATAAATAAATAAATAAATAAAATGGGGTATTGGAAATGATGCAGACAATTACATTGATAGAAGCCACAATCTATCTACCCCCTAAAAAAAGGACATCCAACCAGCCTTACAACCGCAGACCATGAGTAACCACACCAGCCCAGGACCTTCACATCCGACTTCTTCAACTGTCTGAGGAGGGGGAAGGGGGTGCTGAGGAGTATTTCTGTCTTTAATAAAAGCCATTTTGGGGGTAAAAACTCATTCTGATTGGCTGGGCCTGGCTCCCCAGTGGCTGGGCCTGGCTCCCCAGTGGGTGGGCCTGGCTCCCAAGTGGGTGGGCCTATGCCCTCCCAGGCCCACCATGGCTGTGCCCCTGCCCAGTCATGTGAAATCCATAGATAAGGGCCTAATGAATTTATTTAAATTAACTGATTTCCTTCTATGAACTGTAACTCATTAAAATCGTTGAAATTGTTGCGTTTATATTTTTGTTCAGTATTTGTATAGAAAACCCACCCCTTTACTCAAGAGATATGGTCTTACCTTTGAATAATCCAGGCACCAGCTTGTATACAATGTCCTGTAGAGTTTTGTCTGACCTGAGAACGGATATGCAAATGATAAAGCTACTTACTAAGGATAAGAGCATGTTGGTTGCACTTATAGATGCATAATAACATAGGTACTCCCGAGAGAGACGTGCGCACACTCACACATGCAATGTGACTAACCTGATGCTGAGCTGTGGACACGTCTTGTGTACTTGCACATCACATCTGGGGCAGAACTTGTTGGTTTCCAGGAAGGCAACAATGCACGTCTTGCAGACTGGAGTAAGAAGACAGACTTAATGCATGTGACTTACTGTATGACTTTTTATGAAAAGAAAATGCATTGTAAATCTACATTCCTTTTCTACATCAGTTTATAGGCCATATCCTCTAATAATGTTATTATTGGTTCATATGCATTTAGAATAATGCAGTGGCCTTAGGAATCTTACATGAGTGCAAGCACTCCACGATGGTTGTGGCATCGATGAAGTAGCCCACACACAGTGGGCATATCAGGTTAGGATTCAGTTCTGTGATTTTTAGCCGACTGGGTTGCATTTTATCCATCTGGAAGGATCTGCAAAAAGAACAACCATCAGACAAATAATTACTTAGATGATTTATTGGGTGCAAGATTTGAACCACTAAAGTACATGACACATGTTGTGGCATTCTTCTGCTGTTGTTGAATTGTTTTCCAACACAAGGCCTATACATACAAAATGTGTACTGACATTGATGTGGTCCACTCACATTGTCTATAATAATATGGATCACTTGTTTTGTTAGAAGCAGTTATGATTCTTGTAATGGACCAGTGTCATAGCTACTATACAGAATGGCTACTAGTATAGGACCATTTCTTTTGTAATTATTTCCAGCCTGGTTGTTTTTGAGATAGTACCCATCCACCAATGTAACAAAGTACGTGTGGAACTGCTGTAGTCTAGACCCGACTACCCCAGTGGGGCCTCCTGTGCACGGTGAGGCACGTACCCCAAACCCCGAGAAGACCCACAATGAGCAGCTCCAATACCAGTGTGTTCTTATGCATTATAGAAAAATTAAAATTAAAACTATGTAAAGCTAGACGAAAAATAAGCTTAGATGGATAGTGGAAAACAAAGCAGCCATCTTAAATTCAGTGACAGGATTGGATATGAGAAACGAACAAGAGAGAATCCAAACATAACACCGAGTACCTCCATTTGTGTGTTGATGTACCTGTGCATCGCGTTATGCGAATAAAAACAATTGATGCCTTTGCTTCCTACCTGATTTGACATGAAAAACACCCGTACCTCCCGACGTGGATACAGGTAAATTATTTAGAGTTGGTTAACGTTAGATTTTGCAGCAGCGCCAGAAAATGGCTTTTTTTTTTCTCCATACAGTCAGAGGACCGCCCATTATGGTCACGTGATAATATTTTCAGTCCCTGGCGCCTGCCATATACAATGTATTTGCAGCATTTTATTTTAAAAAAATACAACTGTCGCTGATAAGTCGCTAAAACACAGTCCTCTCTATACATTAACCACATTTGTTCATGAAGGAGTCATTGCATACATTGTCTTTTTGACAACCATCCCTAGACTGAAAACCACGCCCCCCCTTGACAATGCTCCCCCTAGAGACAAACCTAAAATTCTGACTAGACCATTGATTACTATAATATAGGATTTATTGTAGGATTGACTGTAAAAAGTGAAAGCTTTATAGCCATAGGTCTACACGTGAAATGTATGCCTTTTCTGCTTCATAATCACCATTCAGTAGTGAATGAGCCATTTACTCTATGAAAAATCCTAATATCTGATTCATAGTATTCATTTTGCCATCAGCTGCTTTTACAAATACAGAGATTTGCAGATTTTCTCCCCAAAATGTCGCTGCCTCCCACACTTTCAAGGTACCAACTACAGCACGCGCGCTTCTACTCTCTGCCTCTTGGCGGCGCACTTCGTTGCGATGTTCAGTCTAGACGCCATCTTGAGGAGACCCCAAAACTGGTGACAACAATCTCAGGCGCATCATAATGGGATTACTAACCTCTAAATAAAATCACCTCAAATCGTTCTCGATAGCAGACGACACCAGAAAGGAGAGGAGTCATCCACCAAGAGTGTATTACTTCTCAACGAAGACTGCGGGTTAGCTAAAGGCAACCTTGCCTGTAGCTAGATGGCCGGCTAACTATCTATGCCCAGCAGCTGGTCTGTGTGCTGCTCCGGACTGAACCGTGGCCTGCTGGGGAGGAAGGGTGGTGACCGCGCAACATGCAATCCCGTTAATTTACTACAGAATCTAATTTGATTCAAAGACACTGCAAATCGGACAGCGGATACGACAATGCACTTATAGATATCACGCTCTTACTGCACATTTCGTTGTCTGGAGTGATAATACCCAGCTAGCCTGCTTTATTACAGTGCTGTCTTGCGTTGCCTAAATTATTCCCAACAAGAGACATGTCATCCAATTGTACCAGCGTTGCGCCGGTTGAGCGCTAGCAAAACGAAGACGAAAAAGAAACATTTTATAGGACAGAAAGTGAAATTATTCCGTGCAAGTGAGCCTATTCTCAGCGTTTTAATGTGGGGTGTCAACCATACGGTAAATTTATTTTTGTTGATGTTCACAAGCTAGCTTGTTTGTTAATGTGGTGTTTTGATTAGCTAACGGTAACGCGATAGTTACCCAGCTACTTGATTGATAAAAGCCAATTGTAGAGCTCATCCATCGTCTAGTCTGTAGTGTATGGGTGTTAGCCAGGTACTTAGTCTGATGCTTAACTGAACGCTGTTAACCCTTCGACTAACCCTTCATTCACCATTCCCGCTGGTCAGGAATATAAATGTAGCAACAATCTAGCTATTTGGCGTGCCAGTCGCGTGCGCATTAAAAATGTGCAGCAAATAGCTGCGACGTTGAACATAAACATTTGACATTACCCGCGCACTATGCAGGCATTATTTGGCACAAGCTGCATAACATCTTCTGTGGAACGAGGGATGTGTGGTGGTCTGAAGTGAGCTAGTTTGTTGGTTAGGAGAGGAGATCGTGAGCACTGCTCCAACCTAAGCATTCATTCTGTCTCGCGCAGGCCAGAGAGGGGTGTGACTGTTGGAGAGCAGCAGGTTGCATTGAGCCCCAACTGCAGCCTGCCTGCCTATTGTTTTACAGGCATCAATGAATGAGAAGGCGTCATCAGACAAAATAAAGCAGCAAATCTTACATTTGCAGATTCTAGCCTGTATTCGTGATTTAATGTGGTTTCGTGTGAAGTACACGTTTGAACACTCAACCATAAAAATAATAGGCTTACAGTTGGTCAAATTTGAGTGGGAGAAGGAAGGACGGTGTCTTCAACACATCCTAAAATACACTTTATTGATACTGTTTTTCACCAAATGCATCAAGTTTCTCACTCACATGAATGCAGAGATCACCAAATGCATTGCAGAGAGCTTCAAGGCTCTATTTTTGTAGCCAGCAGTAGTAGGCGAACACACCCCCTTCCCTGCTTGACTGACACCTCCAGATCAATATCTCTGGCATGAATATGATGCCCCAGGCATGCAGTTTTGGATTTGCTTCATTCACCATTGAATAAGCAAACAGTGCTGATGCGTAATTTCACTTCCAATGTTTGCATGCATTTCAATATGTTGCCTACTTCTTGCATGTATTATTGTCTGTAATTATTATTTCTCAATTGATTTCCCCCTCTACTTGCTGTGTTTTTAGTGAGCCTATTTTATGTATATTTCAATACTTCATATGAGAATAATATGGATAGATATAGACCATAGTCAAATAGGCAGTTCTTGTAGACCAGGGAAAGAATACATGCTTAAAATGGAGAAAACAATGGCATGAATTAACCGATTAGCATATTTAATGAAGCTGTAATAATCATCCTGTGATGCATTCTGCAATAATCATCATGGACAAATTCTGTGTGTGGTGGATGCTGGGTGTCGGCGGAAGGCTAATTTAGGATAATACAAGAAAGACATCAAAGAGCCTTCTCCTCGAAGCTCTCATAACCAGAATATATTTGATCTTGGTAGTCAGTCGTAACAAATTTCTACTAGTCATAAAGCTGGATGAATTCAGTTTCAAGCATACCTAAGCTTTTGCTCAGAGAAGACCTTTGTCAGTCAGAGCATATAGCCAAACACAGATTGAATTGAAACTCCCTTCAAAAACATAGATGCAGTCTTGATGGTAGATAATGCCAGCCTTACAGGCTTTCCAACACAGGAATAGCCTACATCTTCAAATCTGATATGAGCCTTCATCAAACGTATAATAATATCTGCCATTTAGCAGACACTTTTATCTAACGCGACTTACAGTCATGCATGCATATATTTACATATGGGTGGTCCCGGGAATCGAACCCACTACCCTGGCTTAACAAGCACCATGCTCTACCAACTGAGCTACAAAGGACCACCTTCATCAAACTTTGTGTGTAGGTTGATTAGACATAATCCATCATATAGTCAGATCTCGATTGTGTCTGCCTGCTGAAGGCATTAAGCTATACCTCTAATGACAAAGAAATATGATAATACTATCTACCAAAGCTTAACCTGTGGACATGTTAGACAGTGATTCCTCATAGCATGTCAGACAGTTGAATGAGAGTATCCCCTGAAGCAGTCTAGGAGATGGCCTGATATAACTCAAAACCCCAGCTCTATTATAGGCTACTAGGCTATGTCCTGCATATTTCATACAACTCAATGTGTTTGTGCTCCATATGCTATTCTTTTTCTACCTCAAGGTAACTTTTCCAATTTCTCTCCTATTTTAGCAGCGTCTGTGTCTCCTGGATGTATTCTTGTCTCCTTTTTCTTTGAAGCGTTTATTCATGTTCCCTCCCTGCCTCTCCTCTTACTGTCTGGAGTTCATAAATCTATAGAGAGGGCTCGCTCGGGGAATCAGTCTGTTCCTTACAGTGAATCTGTCTCGGTAGATAAGATCATCAGTGTGACAAGGGACTCAGCCAGAGAGCACTGCTGTCAGTTCGCTTTGGTCCAAAGTGAATGATTGTCAGTAAATAGACACTGGTTCACTGCAGTTTGGTCTGGTGTAGGAATTAGTGTGTTGACCTCCTCCCTGCTCTACCATTCTATTCTGATCTCCCCTCTGTTTCAGATCAACGAGTTAAGTAACGTGCCTGTACCAGTAATGCTGATGCCCGATGATTTTAAAGCCTACAGTAAGATCAAAGTGGACAACCACCTATTTAACAAGTAGGTATCCCAAGTCCTAACTTTGCAACCTGCCATACCATATTACTGCCCATATAAACTCAAACAAGAGGCCAATTTAGCTGCATTGTCTTACATATACAGTACGGTACTACCTTTGAAATCTGTTAACACTATGTTATGCTACTGATTAGGAGAGAAGGTTTTGGTTTGGTTTGGTTGGCCCAATGGTCTATGATGTGGTGTGCTTTTAAATCACTAGCAAGATCAAGTTCCTCTATCACCTGTAATATACCTCACCATGGGTCTAGCGATCCCCACTACACTAGAGTTCTAGTCAAACATTAATTGAGCAGCTTTGCAATGCAAATAATCCTCATGGTGAAGCACCTCTAGTATGCTGGTCAAGAGCTTCTCACATTTCCTTTATCTATTCCAGTGTTTTCCTCAGATTACATCAACACTCTGACTCTTCTAATGGACTAACTATAGAATTAGAATACTAGAATGGACATGAACCATTTTGGTCAGGGAGTTGGTCAACCATGGTTTGCCAGTCCTGTGATAAGATATTGTGTAAAGATAATACATTTGAAATTTAGCTAGCCAGACAGTTTTAGAGGAATGATTCCATACATTTTTCAAATTAACTGGCCAATATGCCAACATTCCATTCAAACAATTTAATCAATCCACAGCCATACACTGGCTGAAATCAGTTGATGATAGGACTTAGACAAGTTGTAATGCAACAAGTACTGATATTGTGTCATGTAATAGCACTCACAGCTTTCCAAGGAAAACAAAAATTTAGACATTTATGGTCTGTTTACATATATTTTAGAAGCTATTTATACAGAAAATTGGTTTAAAACACGGATAAACTGTATGATTATATGACTATTTTAGGTTGGTAATAATTCTATTACACAACTTCTGATATATCACATGCCTTACTTTTATTTTCCTGCATAAGTAAAATCAGAATTATGCCTCTGGCGATCTCCACTACACTATACTGGAGTTATAGTCAAAACATTCATTGAACACTTAACTGCGCATCTTTGCAATGCAAATCATCCTCGTAGTGAAGCACCTTTACTGTAGTATGCTATTAACACTCTCTTCAACACTCTTGTACCTCTCAGAGAAAACCTGCCCAGCCGCTTTAAATTCAAAGAGTACTGCCCTATGGTGTTCCGCAACCTGAGGGAGAGGTTCTGCATCGATGACCAGGATTACCAGGTAAAATATGGTCTCATGTGTGGAGATGTCTAAGGGGAAGAAAGTAGGATGGGTTAACTGAAGAGAAAGACCGTTGAGGATGGGTTAACAGTAGTGGAATGAAAGACAGAATGAGTATAGACTTTTACTTGGCTCGGCACTGCTCAGTAATGTCAAAAGGGTAAAGGACAGTTGAGGAGAGAGTAGATCAGACAAGTGCCAGAGGGAACTCCCTGTTATTCCCTGCCCAGTTTGACTCATTGCAGATTCCAATTCTTCCCTCAACCCAAAGTAGTAAGGCTTTATCAGCATTTCTTCCTTCAACCCAATGTAGTCATGTTTTATCAGCATTTGTTGATAAGAACTTACTGAGTTATCACATGTAAACGGTGGCTGTTTTTATTGTTTAGAGAATCATACCAAGCATGGTTTATTACATTAAGTTCAACTATCTTGGTAGCATTGCTAAATGGATCGCAATGTGAAGCGTTTTTGAGATCTTGGAATAGCTCTATGTAAATGCAATCCAGTGATCCATTATTAACTCATGAAATAATTATGAAACGTTTTATTTATAAAGGGCTTTTCATTCATTTCAAAGCCTCTATTTTCTGCTCTGTATGTGTCTCCCTCCCCCGGCCTCCCTCCTGTGGTGGATCATCAACAGAACTCCCTGACGAGGAGCGCCCCGCTGAACAGTGACTCCCAGGGTCGCTTTGGCAACCGCTTCCTGTCCAGCTACGACCACCGCTTCGTCATCAAGACGGTGTCCAGCGAAGACATCGCCGAGATGCACAACATCCTCAAGAAGTACCACCAGGTGGGTGTTACCACACACACACACACACACACACACACACACACAATACAGTTGAAGTCGGAGGTTTACATACGCCTTAGCCAAATATATTTAAACTCAGTTTTTCACAATTCCTGACATTTAATCCTAGTAAAAATTCCCTGTCTTAGGTCAGTTAGGATCACCACTTTATTTTAAGGATGTGAAATGTCAGAATAATAGTAGAGAGAATGATTTATTTCAGCTTTTATTTCTTTCATCACATTCCCAGTGGGTCAGAAGTTTACATACACTCAATTAGTATTTGGTAGCATTGCCTTTAAATTGTTTAACTTGGGTCAAACGTTTCGGGTAGCCTTCCATAAGCTTCCCACAATAAGTTGGGTGAATTTTGGCCCATTCCTCCTGACAGAGCTGGTGTAACTGAGTCAGGTTTGTAGGCCTCCTTGCTCGCACACGCTTTTTCAGTTCTGTCCACACACTTTCTATAGGATTGAGGTCAGGGCTTTGTGATGGCCACTCCAACACCTTGACTTTGTTGTCCTTAAGTCATTTTGCCACAACTTCGGAAGTATGCTTGGGGTCATTGTCCATTTGGAAGACCCATTTGCGACCAAGCTTTAACTTCCTGACTGATGTCTTGAGATGTTGCTTCAATATATCCTCAAAATGTTCCTTCCTATGATGCCATCTATTTTGTGAAGTGTACCAGTCCCTCCTGCAGCAAATCACCCCCACAGCATGATGCTGCCACCCCCGTGCTTCACGGTTGGGATGGTGTTCTTCGGCTTGCAAGCAACCCCCTTTTTCCTCCAAACATAACGATGGTCATCATGGCCAAACAGTTCTATTTTTGTTTCATCAGACCAGAGGACATTTCTCCAAAAAGTACGATCTTTGTCCCCATGTGCAGTTGCAAACCGTAGTCTGGCTTTTTTATGGCGGTTTTGGAGCAGTGGCTTCTTCCATGCTGAGCGGCCTTTCAGGTTATGTCGATATAGGACTCGTTTTACTGTGGATATAGATACTTTTGTACCTGTTTCCTCCAGCATCTTCACAAGGTCCTTTGCTGTTGTTCTGGGATTGATTTGCACTTTTCACACCAAAGTACGCTCATCTCTAGGAGACAGAACGCGTCTCCTTCCTGAGCGGTATGACGGCTGCGTGGTCCCATGGTGTTTATACTTGCAAACTATTGTTTGTACAGATGAACGTGGTACCTTCAGGCATTTGGAAATTGCTCCCAATGATGAACCAGATTTGTGGAGGTCTACACATTTTTTTTTTTCTGAGGTCTTGGCTGATTTCTTTTGATTTTCCCATGATGTCAAGCAAAGAGGCACTGAGTTTGAAAGTAGGCCTTGAAATACATCCACAGGTACACCTCCAATTGGCTCAAATTATGTCAATTAGCCTATCAGAAGCTTCTAAAGCCATGACATCATTTTCTGGAATTTCCAAGCTGTTTAAAGGCATAGTCAACTTAGTGTATGTAAACTTCTGACCAACTGGAATTGTGATACAGTGAATTATAAGTGAAATAATCTGTCTGTAAATAATTGTTGAAAAAATGACTTGTGTCATGCACAAAGTAGATGTCCTAACCGACTTGCCAAAACTATAGTTTGTTAACAAGACATTTGTGGAGTGGTTGAAAAACCTAAGTGTATGTAAACTTCCGACTTCAACTGTATAACACGTTTGAATAAAAAAAAATGTTTTCTGTACAAACATACACCCTCTTAATACATCTTAATACATGTTGAAGAGAGCATGTTGGATTCAAATATTGAAGACCTTTCAATGTGGTGCTGAAGAAATACCTGTGAATTGTCAGATTTGGTGGGACTATCCTTTTGTAATAGCCAACAATTATGCCGACTTCATTACTGGATCTCTCCCACTGTTTCCTTTGCATTACTCATTCCCCTTCCTCTTTCCTCTCTCTCTCCTTTCCCTGTGTTTCCCTCCTCCTCCATTGGTCTCCTCAGTTCATAGTGGAGTGTCACGGCAGCACGCTGCTCCCCCAGTTCCTGGGCATGTACAGGCTAACAGTGGATGGGGTGGAGACCTACATGGTGGTGACTCGTAATGTATTCAGCCACCGTCTCACCGTGCACCGCAAGTACGACCTGAAGGTAGGTGTCTATATACACACTAACTGGGAGGGAACTAACTGGGAGAACACTTACTGGTAGTACACTAACTCCAGTAGGGCACTAAGGGCACTAGGAGCACAATTACAGCTGTAACACTGTTAGCGCTCATTGGGCTAAGGGCTTTTGTAGCAAGCTCAATGCATAGGGTGCTTGCAGAGTATTCCGGTTCCCAGTAGCACTTGAGGCTCCAAGAACTTACTTAAGGCTAGATTTACAGACTATTGTCTGGTCCAATGGTTATGTGATTTATTATCTAGAAGGGGAAATGGTGAAGAATGCTGCTCTTGTGGAAAAGCTTAGTAAATCTGTCTCTTTGTGCTCTGGCAACAACACTGAGAATAGAGGTGTAACGGCGTGCATGCCTATTGGCTCGCAGAACACCATTTCCCTTACAATAAACATCTCTGCAGCTGCCAGGCACTCTTTGGGGGAAACAATTCTGCCATCTGAAATATGACAATGTTATAACCATACTGTCAAGTCCAGGAGAAACAAAAGGAGGAACAAAGATGGAAAGAATGTCTGTCTCTAACTCTCAGCATTCCATTACATCTCTGTGATATATCTTCTTCTTTTTTTATTCAGGGTTCCACGGTCTCAAGGGAAGCCAGTGACAAAGAGAAGGTGTGTTCATTTATATATACGATGATGAGAGGAGTGTTGGAGTACAATGACAGGACCCAAACAATTATTGTGTGGATCATTCTAAAAAAGCATTCAACTAATCAGCAAAAAACAAAACTCATTTACAGCCCAAAATACATTATAAAAGTGCAGAAGTAATGATTTTTCCATCTAATGATAATGAAGCTCAAATGAAATAACACATCCACAGTTGGGCCATGTCCGACTGCTGTCTATGCTGCGCAGAAGGGGAAGTCAAAAGGGGGTGAGTGTAGTCGATGTGGAATAGTTAGCTGTGTGTGCGCTAGTAGTTTCCACCCTGGGGGTTACATTACCCGCTCTGAAACCTAGAAGTAGTTATTTCCCTTCCTGGCTACGTCTTCTGTAGAGCGGTACGTAATACTGCTTCGTGAGTGCTGAGTTGTTGTTGGGAACAGAAGGTTGCTGGTTCACGCCCAGTGACGGACGGACAGAACCTGGTGGAGCCAATGTCACTGGTCGGATTCGTACTGTGGACCTCGCGCTCAGGAACCCAACGTCTTAACCATTACACCAAGAGGAAATACCTGAAATTGTTTTTCTCACAAAAAAGTCAATCCAAGGATAATGAGTGGATAACCCTAATTTTCATGTAGCAAAATTAACAGCAAGAAAGACCTCTGCCATTAGTGTGAATATTTTGATTCTAATTTCTATCACTCTGCTCAGGCCAAGGAACTCCCCACCTTTAAAGACAACGACTTCCTGAACGAGGGCCAGAAGCTGCAGATAGGAGATGACAACAAGAAGTACTTCTTGGAGAAACTAAAGCGCGACGTAGAGGTAGGAGACCTCTCATGGCTGCTCGATTTGATGGCGTTTCTTTTTATTATCATTACAGTCGTCATGGTGAAATCCCTGAGTGGTTTCCTTCCTCTCCGGCAACTGAGCACTTCTGCACATTGTGTTTTGTTTCTAGATTAATATTTATTAACCACCACAAGTCCTTTGAACCAGTTTCACCTAAGTACCTGTGAACAAAGACATGACTTTAGGTTGACAAATAGAAGAATAGTGAGTTTACTGTCCTCCAGGGAAATTTCCCCAAATAACATTAGTTGCAATATCTGACATCTCTCCCTTGTTTGTGTACATCAGTTCCTGGCCACTCTAAAGATCATGGACTACAGTCTGCTGGTAGGGATCCATGATGTGGACCGGGCAGAGCAGGAGGAGATGGATGTGGAGGCCGGCGGAGAGGAGGAGGAGTATGAGAACGATGGGATGGGAGGAGCACTCACCGGCTCCTTCGGCACCCCTCCAGACAGCCCTGGGAACCCCCTCAACTTTGGCGGGTTCTTCGGCCCTGGCGAGTTCGACCCCTCCGTGGACGTCTACGCAATCAAGAGCAACGACAGTAAGAGACTCTCTTTCTTGAGTTTGTGTCAAAGGATTTGTTATGCAATTGTGCTATATTTGTGCTACTCTCTATCTACAGTGCCTTCAGAAAGTATTCACACCTTGACTTTTTCCACATTTTGTTGTGTTACAGCCTGAATTTTAAAATGGATTAAATTTGAGATTTTGTGTCACTGGCCTGCACACAATACCCCCATAATGTCGAAGTGGAATAATGTTTTTCAAAATGTTTACAAATGAATTAAAAATGTAAAGCTGAAATGCCTCGCAAAGAAGGGCACCTATTGGTAGATGGGTTAAAAAAAAGCAGACATTGAATATCCCTTTGAGCAATGGTGAAGTTATTAATTACACTTGGGATGGTGTATCAATACACCCAGTCACTACAAAGATACAGGCGTCCTTCCTAACTCAGTTGCCGGAGAGGAAGGAAACCACTCAGGGATTTCACCATGAGGCCAATGGGGACTTTAAAACAATTACAGAGTTTAATGCTGTGATAGGAAAACACAGAGGATGGATCAACAACATGGTAGTGATTCCACAATACTAACCTAATTGACAGAGTGAAAAGGAAGCCTGTACAGAATAAAACATATTCCAAAACATGCATCCTGTTTGCAACAAGGCACTAAAATAATACTGCAAAAAAAATGAATGTGTCTAGCAATGATCAGCAACCAATTTGACAAAGCTTTAAGATTTTTTTAAAATAACAATGGGCAAATGTTGCACAATCCAGGTGTGGAAAGCTCTTAGAGACTTACCCAGAAAGACTCACAGCTGTAATCACTGCCAGATGTGCTTCTACAAAGTATTGACTCAGGGGTGTGAATACTGATGTAAATTAGATATTTCTTGTATTTCATTTTCAATACATTTGCAAAAATGTCTAAACATGTTTTCACTTTGTCATTATGGGGTATTGTGTGTAGATGGATAAGATTTAAAAAGATATTTAATCGATTTTGAATTCAGGCTGTAACACAACAAAATGTGGAATAAGTCAAGTGGTATGAATACTTTCTGAAGGCACTGTATCACAGGGGGTTGGTGGCACCTTAATTGGGGAGGATGGGCTCGTGGTAATGGCAGGAGCAGAATGAGTGGAATGGTATCAAATGCAACAAACACATGGTTTCCATTTGTTTGATGCCATTCCATTTGCTCCGTTCTGGCCATTATTATGAGCCGTCCTCCCCTCAGCAGCCTCCTGTGCACTGTATCTATCTCTTGATAATTAATCAAAGTTGTCTGTCTTAAAGCTGCAATATGTAACTTTTTGGCCAACGCAACCAAATTCACATAGAAATATGTGTTATAGAGCTGTCATTCTCATCGAAAGCAAGTCTAAGAAGCGGTAGATCTGTTCTATGTGCGCTATTTTTATGCTTCCCGTTCTTAAGTTTAGTTTTTGTGTCTTTTACTTTCTTTCTTTTTTTTACCAGCTGAAAATACAATATTTTTGGTTATGGAAAAGACATTTCACAGCAGTTTAGACGGTACAATGATTCTCTACTTGCTTGTTTTGTCACAAACTATTAGAACTTTAGCAACCAGTAAATGGTGGAGCGATAGTGCATCCTTAATTAACATTGAAAATGAAACTAATTTTAGAACAGAGACATCATGGGACTGCGCAGTGAAAAGTAATACTTTCTATTTATACTCCTATGCACTGTCTTGCTCCTTGTGGTAGGTGCTGTGAAGAAAGAAGTATACTTCATGGCTATCATCGACATCCTCACGTACTACGACGCTAAGAAAAAAGCTGCACATGCTGCCAAAACTGTGAAACATGGGGTGAGTAATGGACTAGCTCTGACCAAACATGAAACATAAAGCCAAGTGTTTAGGCTGCAGAGATGCTAGATCATATAGTCGTTTCAAGTAGAAGATGATCTTGTGAGAAGATGTGTTATTACATATAAATTGTAGCTGTATGTTTGCACTGAACTCTTATCCTCTGTTGTCCCTCCCTCAGGCTGGGGCAGAGATCTCCACCGTAAACCCAGAGCAGTACTCCAAAAGATTCTTTGAGTTCATGTCCAACATCCTGTCATAGAATCATCTCTCCTACCCCAGCCAATCACATCCTGTCATAGATCCATCAGCCACACCCACCTCTCTCTCGCTCCTCCTGCCCCTCCCACCTGATTTAGCCCCACCCATTACCCTCCCACCCTGGGGACGACAGACTGAAAGGATTCACAGAGATGACGAGCCTGTTACATTGACCCACAGAGAGGGGGCGCCGGACTCTTTCTAAAAAAAAGCAACGCGTCTCTTCTCCCCCCATGTCCCAAGTCCTACTCCCCCTGCCCAGCCTTCCCTGCCTCCTCAGTCTGAACGCTCGACGAGGAAGGCTTGTGAAACAGAGTTCTATATGATTTGAGACCCTCCCCCTTTCTGCCTTCCCTGTCACCTTATACTAGTCCTCACGCCAGCACGGGAACTGTCTCACTAATGCCTTGAAAGAGTGTCAGCTTCAGCAGTAGGAGTCTGTTTAGTACCGTCTGTTGGGGTTCCGTTCATTGTTATTATTTTATCAGACACACACAAGTACACACATCTCTCACAGACACAGAAGCGGTCAGATCGCATGAATCTTTTGACCGAGTGGCCAACAGGCATTTACAAACTCTGCCTCCTTGACGTGTCAGGAGATCTGCAGCCGACAGTAACAAAATTGGGAAATACAGGAGATTAATTAATATATAAGGGTTTTACGTAAATGAATGCAATATCAAAATGCATGGCTGAAATGTACATGACTCCGCCAGTTAGTTGAAACGTCAAACCACTGAACTTAGCATCTGAGCATTATGACTAAAAAAGAAAAACATAAATGTCTGAATGTTACGTTGCCATATTGTTCTGAAAACTTTTGACATTTTTACCGTGAACTTGGAGGTTGGTAAAAGAAAATCAACATAAAAAGGGGAATACTAAAGCAAGTGCTTGTTTTATTACCATAAGAATCATTTTTATATCTTGTTTACATTAATGTAGCATTTGTTTGTATACAGTATTGTTTTGTTACCAACAGACATTAGGATCAGAAAAGTTACTTGAAAAGGATTCATTACATATTAAAGGGAGTTGTTTTTTTCCTGAATCTAATTAATTAATTTTCTCACCTTTGACTAACAAAGATCATTCCTTTATTGTGCCTTGTCACAGTGGTTTTAAATTAGGTTCTAATGACCTATTCTGTATCGAGAGCGCTGCTAAATATCCTCATGAGACAAGTGTCAACAGACAATAGCCGTTTAGCCGCTCAATTCATTCAGATTAGTCCCTGGAGCCTGTATTCTTCTGAGATTTCTGAATTAGGCTGCAGACTATCCTGCCCATCCTTCCCTGTTTTATTAAGTCACCACAGAACGGATAATCCCAGTTATCATAATCGGACATTTAACAAAGTTAAGCCCTCATCTTTCATTACTTGCACACAGATAACATACCAGGCAAACCAGAGACATTGGAACACTAATACTCATTAATTTTATTGAACAGTATCTTAAGAAAAACAGTACACGCAGTGTTTATCATTTTCATACAAAATAGTGGGAGTTGGTAGAGATGCGGGGTTGAGGGAGAGGAGCTTTAATCCATTCTGGCCTTCAGGGTACGTGTGGTGATCTTGTCCTTCTCACTGTCAAAGAAGAAGTCAATCAAGGCACTGGGTACTGTCACTACAACATTGACCTGAGCATTACTACTATCACCATCTAAATGTCATGTCATTTGTATGAATCCTCAGATTAATTACAAATTGAACAAGTATTTCATCCAAAAAATGTATGACTGTACTTACATGACTTGCACAATGACACCCATGCCTGAAACGGCATCCCTGTCCACTGCATTCAGCATGGCTTGGGAGATGGTCTCAAACAGGTCCTCTGGTTCCTGAAGGTGTCAAAAATAACCATTGTAAATAAAGACAGTCAGAGATATAATCAACTATCATACTCAATGTATTATCTTACAATACAGTACACAATAACCTACCATGTCTGGCTCCCAGAGAGATTCACACATGCCGTACATCTGCTCTGAGCAAGTGCCACTCACAACAAAGTCCTCTGTCACCATAGGGCAGCCAATCAGGTCCAGGGAGCAGATGAATGGCTCAAAGGTCTTGGGGTCCAGACCAGCGATCACAGGCTCAATGTAGTATGGGCCCAAATCTGAGACAAGGGATTCACATTTGTTATAGGATCAGTCACGGACTTGCCACCAAGGCGGAAGTGTAGACTTATATATGAAATACTGTGCTTTCTTCAAATCAGTAAACTCACCTCCTCTCGTAGAGCAGGTTGGAGACCATGCTCATGAATGTCTTGGGTTTGATCTGACGCCCCTCCTTCAGCTCGTAGAGGTTCAATCTGAACTTGAGCCTCTGGGAACTGATAGAGAAATAAAGCGGATAATTAAGATCACCTGCAAGGCCAATCCGTTGCACTGACCATCCAAATACTCAGAAACTTGGGAAAGAAGAGGTGCACTGGTGGACCAAGGCACACTTACACTGTCTGTACGTCAGTAGCCAGGCCAGCCAGGCCAATGTAGAGTCTGTCTCCCATGGGAAAGATCTTCTGGAAGTCTGTGGTCACCATCTGAGCCTGTACACCGAATCTCCGATCTGCTGCAATGGCTACACACTGCTTACCCTTCATCGCCATGACGGCGCCACCATTATAGGACATAATAGACTGGAGATGGGAGACGAGGGAGAGAAATTATTAGTAACAATCATAACTGGGACAATTTCAAAACCCAAACAACATTATTTCCATCACTAACTATTGAGTTAGTTACTAACTTTGACGGGTGGCCTTCATTACTTGAAACATTGGTGAATCAGTAGAAACATTATTGGCATAACTACTAGGAACGTCAAGATGATAAACTTCCATCATCAGACTCAAGTTGCATCCCTCTTCAGATAGCTAGTACTAACATTAGCTAGTCAGCTCAGTCAGAGACTAGAGACAAGAATCCAGTTTATAGCTAGCTAACTAGGTAGCGAGTTAATGTGGTAGTTATGTTTGGAAAACGACTGTAGTTACATTTTCGTTGAACAAGTTAGCATTGCAGGTGACTTTTGGCATGGCTTGCTAACGTTAGCAAGCTACCATACTGATTAGGTAGCCGGTTGCTAACGTTAGCTGATCTAGTTTTACAAACCAATCTGCAATCTACGGACCACGAGTACTAGCTACATGCATACATTATTTATTGGCATAATCTTACCATGTTGAAAACGTTGAGGTGTCTTCCTTAGCCCTTGAAATATCTTGTAAATGTTCACTATTTTGAATGACTGCGGATAACAATCCCACAGTGACTACACGATTTGGAACAACCGGAAATCAGCCAACCATGCTGTTTGAGACGTCATTCGGTACTACACGATGATTGGGTCTGTAAAAAGTTCCGGGTGGCCACAGTTGTTATCATTGACTGTTGTATGTTAGGGGAGTGTGCAAATGTACCTAGGTTGTTTGAAGCGTGCTAAAGTGAAACAATAATGGAAATAAAGAGAAGTTACGGAACCAAAAATTGAAAAAAATGACGGTAAACAGTGATCCTTTGACTGAAACACCAAACCACTGGAGATGGGCTACTTTCTTTTTTTTTTTTTTTTTTTGGGGGGATGGATCAGCTTAATATTGCAGATAGATTGTATCTTCTATCAATGTAATTGTCTGCATCACTTCCAATCCCCCATGTTTTTTTTTATTTTTTATATATATATTCCCCTTTATTACTTTTCAACCCCACCATCCTTTCCCTACTTGGAGTAAATTAGTGAACAACAACGCCCAGGCCTCTACTTCCGGTCTATACTTACTATCTACACCTTATGGACAGAGTTAATTTTACAATAATTCTATATATATATATATATATATATATATATATATATATATATTTATTTATTTTTTTGCTCCTGAACTTCTTCTACTCTCAACCTCTCCGATCATTTTCATGATGTCCATCCGGTTTGCTTCTAAATGCCATATCTTTCTAACTGTGCTCTTTCCCAAAAGCTCCCAACATACAACCTATATACTTATTATGGACACAGTATGCTTACATTATTAGCTATCTTTGTTATTATTTGTTGTTATTTGTTATTAGTCCCATCCTTCAACTCTATTCAATACCTCCCATCTATCTCTTAACACCATCCATATAGGATTTCTATTTGCCATATATATTTCAACCATACTGTGATGTTTTACAAAAGTTCTGAACCTTTCTATTCTCATTGCTTCTACAGATTGTGAATTAAAAATAAACATTTTTGCTAAAAGTATTATTATATTATTGATTGATTGACTATGACTTTTCAGATCACCCAGTAATGCTATCTGCAAGGTTAGTTCCAGGTAAATATTGCAATCCCTTAGCCATTCCTGGACCTGTGTCCAAAAACAAGCTACAAATGGACAGAACCAAAACAAATGATCTAATGATTCTATCTCTTCACAGCAAAATCTGCAGAGCTGGGAAGATTGTATCCCCCATATAAATAACATTCTATTGGTAGCAAGAATTTTATATAATAATTTAAATTGAAAGATTCTAATTTTTGAATCCGGTGTCGTTTTGCGTGTCAGTTCATAAACACTATGCCATGGGATCGGTACGTCAAAGATCTCTTCCCAACTATTTTGCAATCTATATGGGACTGCTGTCAATCCTTTGGTCCTTAAGTGAAACTGATATACTTTTTTATTTATCACAGTTTTCCTTAACCAATTATGTTCTTTAATGCAAGGCCGACAGACAAGTTCCTTACTTTCTCCCCCTTCAACTTTCCTCTTCCACTTTTGCGGTAAGGCTGCAATTATTTGGTTGTAATTTTGGGTAGAGCAGACATTTCCATATGTTTTTGTTAGCTGCATGTGCGACATAACTCCACCAGTCCTACCGATGATATCATTTACGAAGATTATACCTTTTTTAAAACATTCTGTCAAAAAATAAAGGTTTTTTGTCAATTAGTATATTTGAATTTAACCACAATATTTGTTGCATTATTTGTTCTGTCGTTTCTGGAGGATTAAATTGAAATTGCAACCAACTTTCTATGGCTTGTTTTAGAAATAGTGACATTTGGGAGATTATTTCCTTTTCAAATAACTGAAAGTGAGAGGTTGTAATCTGAATAAAGGGAAAAAGGCCTTTCTTGAACAGTGGGTGAGACAATCTTACTAATTTGCTTGAGAACCAGTTCGGATTTAAGTATAACTTTTGGATGACTGAAGATTTTAGTGATAGGTCTAATGCTTTAATATTTAATAATTTCTGTCCTCCGAATTCATATTCATTATATAAATATGCTCTTTTAATTTTGTCTGGCTTGCCGTTCCAAATAAAATTGAATATTTTTTTCTCATATAATTTAAAAAACTGTTTGCTAGGCGTAGGCAAGACCATAAGCAAATAGGTAAACTGGGATAATACTAAAGAGTTAATCAGGGTGATTTTCCCACAAATTGACAGGTATTTTCCTTTCCATGGTAGTAAGATCTTATCTATTTTTGCTAACTTTCTATTAAAATTTATTGAAGTGAGATCATTTATTTCCTTTGGGATATGTATTCCGAGTATATCCACATCACCATCAGACCATTTTATTGGTAAACTACATGGTAATGTAAAAATTGTATTTTTTAGTGATCCAATACGTAATATAGTACATTTGTCATAATTTGGTTTTAATCCAGAGAGGTTAGAAAATGTATCTAGATCCTCTATGAGGCTGTGGAGGGATTCTAGTTGTGGATCTAAAAGAAAACATGAATCATCTGCGTACAATGACACCTTTGTTTTTAAGCCCTGTATTTCTAATCCTCTGATATTATTATTGGATCTGATTTTAATAGCTAACATCTCGATGGCCACAATAAATAGATATGCCGATAGTGGACAACCTTGTTTCACTCCTCTTGACAGTTTGAAACTTTCTGAGAAATAGCCATTATTTACTATTTTACACCTAGGGTTACTATACATGATTTTGACCCATTTTATAAGAGATTCTCCAAAATTGAAATGCTCCAGGCATTTATATATAAATTCCAGTCGAACTTTATCAACAACCGGAAATCAGCCAACCATGCTGTTTGAGACGTCATTCGGTACTACACGATGATTGGGTCTGTAAAAAGTTCCGGGTGGCCACAGTTGTTATCATTGACTGTTGTATGTTAGGGGAGTGTGCAAATGTACCTAGGTTGTTTGAAGCGTGCTAAAGTGAAACAATAATGGAAATAAAGAGAAGTTACGGAACCAAAAATTGAAAAAAATGACGGTAAACTATGAGCCTTTGACTGAAACACCAAACCACTGGAGATGGGCTACTCTTAAGTCCAGCATTATTATTTTACATTTACATCATTTAGCAGACGCTCTTATCCAGAGCGACTTACAAATTGGTGCATTCAACTTATGATAGCCAGTGGGACAACCACCTTTTTTTAATGGGGGGTGGGGGAAGAAGGATTACTTTATACTATTCCAGGTATTCCTTAAAGAGGTAGGGTTTCAAGTGTCTCCGGAAGGTGGTCAGTGACTCCGCTGTCCTGGCGGAGCTTGTTCCACCATTGGGGTGCCAGAGCAGCGCATAGCTTTGACTGGGCTGAGCGGGAACTGGGCTTCCGTAGAGGTAGGGGAGCTAGCAGGCCAGAGGTGGATGAACGTAGTTCCCTCGTTTTGGTGTAGGGCAGGGTTCTTCAATTCCGGTCCTGGAGAGCCGAAACACCTCTGTTTTTTATCCTCTCCTTCTAATCAGGGGCTAATTCAGACCTGGGACACCAGGTGAGTGCAATTAACTACCAGGTAGAAATAAAAAAACAGAAGTGTTTCGGCCCTCCAGGACCGGAATTGAAGAACCCTGGTGTAGGGTCTGAGCCTGAAGGTAAGGAGGTGCCGTGCCGTTCCCCTCACAGCTCCGTAGGCAAGCACCATGGTCTTGTAGTAGATGCGAGCCTCAACTGGAAGCCAGTGGAGTGTGCGGAGGAGCGGGGTGACATGAGAGAACTTGGGAAGGTTGAACACCAGACGGGCTGCAGCGTTCTGGATGAGTTGTAGGGGTTTAATAATTATCCTATAAAACCAAAAGGCTTTCATGATAGTCATTCAAATGTATGTCTACTTTATGATGACGCTTGTAACAGTGTGCCTGAGAATTTTTATTCATTTCATCTTCATACGCCGTTTTCAATTATCATAGTTTTCTGAAGGTGTATCAAAGCAGTAGCCAGAATTTGTAGGAACCTTGTGTTTGAACTTTTAAACAATCACATACAACAACAAGTAAACTCAAAGACAGTATTTAGTTTGTTAGTCCCCAACTCTGAAAGAGCTTTAGGAACAATGTTTTATTAAGATACACAATTCTTCTCCTTTACAGCAATACACTAAACATATTCAAGGAACATAATTTACAAAAGGGTTGTGTGTGATAAAAGTAAGTTTGAATAATTCTAACCATTACAGAGAACACAATGTACCATTTCCACTTAAAATAAATCCATCGTTCATTCTATAAAGGTGAGTATGGCTTGCTGTTGCTGGTGAATGGCACAGGGGAGTTTTGCCATTACAGAGGAAGTCAGATACTTTGCATTGCTTTAGTCAGGGCAATGGCTAAGGGGCAGTTTCACAGGGCCTGAGTGCAAATGCATGGTGCCTCTGCAGTTTCTGCTTTGTTTAAATTATGAGTTGGCAGTCCTGGCAAACCGGTGCACATATTTCAGTGTGGTAGCTGGTGTATATTTTTACACCAATCCATTCCTGCTTCTTCTAGTTCTCATCTCCTCATGAAATTCTTCTCCAGGGATGCGGGGGTCCTCTGTATGGAATGGATGTTTCTCTTGACTCGGTCCTCCAAGGAAGAGGTGGAGGCACTCTCCAGCTTCATGTTACTGCAGGGAAGGACGCAACAGTTTTAGAGGACCAGACAACAGCCAGAGTAAACATGCAATATGTGCACAAATATCGGTGTGTGTCAGTCAGTGAGATACTTACTGGATAAAGCCAGCGTTGCGGTCATGCTTGCCACCTTTCTCTTTCTCCCGCTCCTTCTCCAGTTCATCCTGTCGTTTGTAACTTCTAATGTTGTTTTCACGCTCTTCGTCTCTCTGTTTGGCAAAGTCCATCATCTCTCTCCTCTTCTTCTCCAGCTCTTCAGCAGAGAGACATCTAAGAGAATATCAGACAGATAAATATAGGGATAAGAAAACACTTTAGGATGGGGTGGTGTGGTGCGATTACCATTAGTTCACTGATGATTGAACCCAAGTGTGTTAATTGTATAAACTGGTGCTGTGGACTCTTACTTGGTGGTACTGCTCTGACGCCTTTGGTAGCGATCTTTCTGTGGGCTGGGGGCTTTGGGACGCTGGAACTGTGGAACTTTGAACTGGTCTGTCCTGTGGGATGAGTGGTTCTCTGATTTGTGAGAGGAGTGGTTGTCTGTCCTTTGAGAGGAATGATGGCCGTTCCCGTCTGTCCTTTGAGGCGATCGAGAGTGGCTCCTCTCCTGAGAACGGTGCCTCGAGTGGTTGGGGGGCTTTGAGGACTGATGATGCCTCCCAGCTGGAAACTGAGGAGAAAAATTAGGCGATGAGCGGTACACATCTCTCTCAAGAGGATTTAAGTAACTTTGAATTGATTGGACTAAGATCTAACAACGTTCATGGTGTCACTGTCAATATATAAAGACTGAGATTGAGCCATACTGACCTGTAGTCCATAGCCAGCTGGGACACTGCGGTGGTGGGAATGTGAGTGGGTTGTCTCTTTGGATTCCTCTTTAGAATGGTGCCTAAGGAAAGATACATAACTCAGTTAACCCAATGAGTCTCACCAGAACGCTGGAACCTTTTGGATTTCTAACCCCTTTTAAACCATTGGATTCATCTATTTCTTCTGCATCCATAGATACTAACCATTAGTATGTGTGATTATTAACGGCGGCTGAGCTAGAGTGGTGTTTGTGAAACAAGAGTCAGAATGGTTTCAGCTACAAACTATTAAAAGCTCACGAACACGTAACATGTTTTGCTCTATGACGCTCACAAGCTCCAAAGGAGTTATTAAAAGGTATTCTAGATAGAATATCATAGGAAATCCCAGGACATAGTGTCTATAATACTGTAATAAGCTCACAGTTGCAATCACAAACGCCATACAGTTGTCACTGACTAGTTGGATATTCATTTTTCAGTGAGCAAAGAACTTCTGTACAGCATTAATATAAATTCATTTTGATCAGTTTTTTGCATTGGCGGACCTTATTTCTTTATTGACATTTGTCAATAAAACTCATTAATACAACTACTTATGTCAATGCGTTTGTGTTTTACTTGTAGCCCTGGTTGTCCTGAAAATAAAATGGTAAAACACTTCACTGTGACGCTAAATATAAGGGCTGGACATGCAGATAAATGAAAATCTCATGTTTTGCTGGGGTCTCAGGACTGATAGGGTTAAACAATCTACCCCATCCAAAAGTTGCCGTCAACAATAGAAGCTGCAAGCTAGATTTAGTAAACTATCACAAAATGCGTACAAGATCAAAACAGTTAAACAGAACATCAGATCATATCTGTTTACTGCTCCTGAGAAACCTCTATTGAAGTTAGTTTTTACCTGTGTTTTTTCTCTTCATCCTCAGAGCTTGAGCTCCTTCTCTTATGCTTCTTCTCCTTTCTCCTCTCTTTCTCCTCCCTTTTCTCCTTCTTGTCCTTCTTCCTCTTCTTTTTCTTGTCTTTCTTTTCAAGATTCTGACGCAGCTGAAAGAAAATAAAAAGTGAAAAACTGTTGCTGCTTTAGAACCCAGTTCATCCGGAACTATTACTACAACAGGCTGAAACTGATTTCATTCCAGTTTGAATGGAGCCATCCAACTTACCATTTCTTTGATCTTCTTCATTTTCACTGGGTTTGTCAAGACCTCCCTCTTCTTCTCCTCCTCTCGTTTCCTTGAAAAATAAGAAATGTGTCATTAGAATCAGCTCTTGGCTAACAGCAGAACATCAATGTATGGTATAACAGTTGCTAGCTGGACACACTAGTGTTAATGTTAAAAGAAAAAGACAAGAGTGACTGACCTGATATCAAACAGCGGGTCCTCTCTGATCTTGGCAGCCATGTCGAGGGTGGATGCAGGGGTGGAAGGGTTGAAGATTGAGCCAGGCAGGAGGCCGGTTTGTTCGGATGGACCGCTCTCTGGCTCCTCAAACTGCTGGGTGATCTGCTTGTCAATGGGGCGGCCCAGCAGGTACTCATCACGGGACACCTGACCACCTGGCCCCTGGTACATCCAGTCCAACCGGTCCTCTTTTTTCCTGGAGTAAAACAAAAAAAAAGCAGTTGAGTGTTAGTGACAACATCCAAGGGGAGTATCTCTGTCCATGTGTCTGTGGTGAGAGGGAACACTAGAAAAATTGAAAAGTATAAATTAACTCTTGATTTTTAAACCTAGATAGGACAGTGGTTTCTCTATCAAGGTGAGACCTATTACTTCCTCCTCATCACAAGGGTCAGTGAGGTGAGCATTACTTTAGAGCCCCAGTCTGCTGAGCGAATCTGGTTATATCTTCTCGAGCTCGTTCATCTCTCAGCTCCTTCTGAAGCTCCTCAATCTTCTTCACCTCAGCCTCGTGCTTCTGTTCAGCCTTCCACACCCGCTCTATGTTTTTCATAGTCTGGGGATGCCAGCTCTTCTTCAAGTTCTGACAGAGATAAGGGAAAGTGATGTTCGATATAATTAAACAAAACAAGGAAAGATAACTACAATTAATCAATACAACCATTTTCTGAATTCCAATTATTCTTCAGGGAAGGTAAGGAATTACTACTTCTGAGTAACGTTAACTAGCTAGGTAGTTGTGTAACAACAACATAACATAACTGGACAAATATAAAATAAACACATACATACACCTTCAAAACTTAATTTAGTTAGGGGGTCAACTTAGTTAACTAACTAGCTACGCCAACTAGCCATCATTGTCGTGGCAGTGATAGCGTTTCGCTTCACAAAACGCTAGCTCAGAAGTTGGCAGTAATTGAATTATATCGAACACATTTGTGAAATGTAACTGGTTTTGTGATTAGTTAGCTTGCTAGACATAAACAAAACAAACTTGCTTAGCTAGTTAAGTGCTAACGTTAGCTTTGTAAGCTAATATTTGCTCATACTTACGAGGTCACCTCCTCCCATCTTGACTTAGATCGTCCACTCGGTCCAATTGAGAAATAAGATATGAACAAACGTCTTCTCTACCTATGTGGTTATTGTACCTGACAAAACAAATGTAAGTTATTAGCTAAATAAAATCGACATTTGCATGCTAGGCTAGCGTGTTGTATTTTTCTTCGTACTTCCGGTCTTTCTGATTCTTTTTCCGGTTGGTTAAGGAGGCGTGCTTCTACTTCTTCTTCTTCTTCTTCGATGAGGTTTAACGGCGGTTGGCATCCAATTTGTTTCATTACCGCCACCTACTAGACTGGAGTACAACTCCCTTATATTTTGCTTGAAAAATTAAATAAAGAAATACCCTACCATCTAACACTACACTCAGAAATTCAAAAATATTATAAATAATTAACACCACCCTACTCCACTATTTAAATATATTCACTCCTACCTCATGCCCTCAACCTGAAATGATGGGATATCACCAAACGTGCCCAAATGAGTGCCCAAACGAGGGCACTACGTTCATCCACCTCTGGCCTGCTAGCTCCCCTACCTCTACGGAAGCACAGTTCCTGATCAGCCCAGTCAAAGCTATTCGCTGCTCTGGCACCCCAATAGTGGAATAAGCTCCCCCACGACGCCAGGACAGCGGAGTCACTGACCACCTTCCGGAGACACTTGAAACCCTACCTCTTTAAGGAATACCTGGAATAGTATATAGTAATCCTTCTACCCCCCCTTACCCCACCCCATAAAAAAAATAAAAATAAAAAAATAAGAAAAGTGGTTGTCCCACTGGCTATCATAAGTTGAATGCACCAATTTGTAAGTCGCTCTGGATAAGAGCGTCTGCTAAATGATGTAAATGTAAATGTAACACTCCCTGTAACTCTTCTGATGTGAAGTATCGCACACCCAAATACCTTTCTGCAGCTGCCACCACAACCTCAATTTTCTTCGACTTACATTCCATCCCTACAGTACAATTAATAACCATTGCTATAAATGCTAAAAATCCAATCTTACTGAAACATATATCACTTGTTGGCCTATCCCTCTGCACTGGTACATACTACTCTCACCACTCCTCCCCCTTGACCCATCTTCCTCTACCTTCTTCACTGCCTCAGCATATGACAACTTCTTCACTACTCTTACCCTGGAAACCTCAACCTGCCTCTCTCGCACGGGACATTTCTGATCCACAGCCCCATGGGCACCCCTACAATTAGCACATACCCCTACTTTCCCCAATGCTACACATTCCTTTGTCTCATGCCCTTCTGCACACTTCTCACACCTTGAAAGTTGGATGCGATCTGCCAACCCAATCCCAAAGAAGAAGAAGAAGAAGAAGAAGAAGAAGAAGAAGAAGAAGAAGAAAGAAGAAGAAGAAGAAGAAGAACGCCTGCTTCAGAAGAGTCATTGTCTGTTCTTTTGAGTTTTGAAGTTGAGTCTTTAAGAGTGGGTTCAGGACAGTGGAGGATGGTGTGAGAAGCAATAGGAGGACAGGCTCATTATAATGGCTGGTATGGAATTAATGGAACGTTATCAAACACATGGAAACCACGTTTGACTCCATTCCATTTATCCAATTCCATCCATTACAATGAACCCGTCCTCCTATAGCTTCTCACACCATCCTCCACTGTCCTGAACCCACTCTGTGCTACGCTCATCAAACCCCTAACTTCCAAGAAATACATAATCCTACTCACTATCATCTTTTCCATCAACTTACACATGTTGGATGTCAGTGTGATAGGCCTATAACTGCCCGCCCTGGCGGGATTTTACCTGGTTTTACAAACGGCAACATCACCGCACGTTTCCACCCAGCAGGTATCACCCCAGTCTTCCACACCTTATTATACAACCCTAACACTGCTTCCAACACACTGTCCGGTGCAAGCGTAAACATCACATAACACACCCTATCTTCTCCAGGAGCAGTCTGCCCATAGCCCACCAACATCCTTGTCATCTCAAACATAGAAAACTCTGCATCCATAGCTTCTCCTGACTCCCCTTTTCTCTTTAAGACATCTCCATGCTCCTTTAACTTTCCTCTTACTCTCAGAATGCGTTCAAGACAAGAGCCGCATCAAAAACCTGTACTGGGTGCGTTCAAGGACACTGCACAGTGTAGCATTGTGCAACTGTTTTCCAAAAAGTTGCCATGAAAATGTTTATCATATAAGTTTCATGTTGATAATCTTTTTCTGATCATTGTAGATAATTGAGTGTGACTAACATTGAGTGATCTCAGAGCATATGGCTCTCTGATCTGTCTCGCTCTCTCTCTCTCTCCTTCTCGCTCTCTCTCTCTCTCTCTCTCTCACACACACACACACACAGTGATCTCACCTGTAAGACATGAGCTGGCTTCAGCAGTGCATTTTATAATAAATCATGATGAAGTACTGAATAAATAGACAACATACTATTATTTTTATTTCCATAAAGAACATTTCTCTATTAAAATTACAAGCAAGTCTCAAAACCAAACAATCGTACAGCAGTACTTAAATTGTTACAAAATATTGTTTAAATTCATATCTACTGCAACAACATACTACAGTAATCCATCAAATCAGATCATTTAAATAATATTTAAATAATCTTCAATCTGCTCCTATCTAACACATACAACTCAATAATAGCATTTATGATAATAATAGAAATAGCAAATAGGCCTATTTAATACATGTATCAAGTGTTCCTAAGTAGGCCTATTGGGAATGCAAAGCTACAAGGGGGGAATTCCGACCCAAGTTAAGCACGTGTAGAAAGGAAAGTAATTTCCTTTTTATGCAGTTTTCTCTCTACACGTATTCTGACCTTGAACTTAAGCATGAGAATAGCATGCTATTCACCTGTTATTTGTTTGGGGTGGAGATCAAATAAATGAAGGTGTGGAGGAGGTGTGTCTACAGATACGCTGTATTCTGACCTTGTCTTGACTTAATTCCGTCATAATTCCACCACCTTTTCCCAAACAGGTTCCACTTGTGGAACAACATCTACCTTCTTTTTCCCGATAGAAATAACACCATTCTCCATGCACTGTAATTTATAAATTGATAAAAGCTATTGATAAGAGCTAGGTAAATGAGTAAGCCGTTTGGATAAGGAGATTGCAAATATAAATGACAATTGTTTTAGATCTATTTTAACTTATGATAGCTGGAAAGAAATGTGAAACCAGTCATATGGCAGCAAACTGAAGCATATCAACCTAGCCTATCACCTTTTCTACAGTGGTTTATGAAAAGCTGGCCCCATACTGTAAGGATGACATTTGGAGACCCAAGCAATACGCTTCTGTAGCCATCCGCAAATGACGGTATAATTGTATGCCCGGACTTTACACTGTATTTTTTACAATTTGTTTAAATATTAGCCACTCCCTGTAGCCACCGTCAGTTATACCCACATACTGTACATTTTGCATCCTTCCATTACATCGTTAGTTTACCTTTTTTTCCTCTGTCACATTTGTGTGGTTGTTCCTGGGGATAGCTAGCAATAGTGGATCATATTAGGCTAATGTATTACAAGTTGGGCAAGAATTTGGGACATGTAGCCAATTTGAATCATTATGGAATGCAGACCATATGTAGCCTGGCGCGCAGTTCAAGACGAATGGACCGTTATCATCAAAGTTACATGATTAGTGAGGATTATTAGGGTAGATTTATAGGACTACTGTTCAACTCCTATTGTACACTTTTCTCACCTTCAAATATTTCAGGCTTGAACAATTGAATTTGGCAACTTTCAGGATAAATCAAACCACTGTATTCTTGATTCACCAATATATTTATTGAGTAAAGGCTCTCCACACCTGTTTTTTATTATTATTCACAGTGGTGTAAAGTACTTAAGTAAAAATACTTTAAGGTACTACTTAAGTCGTTTTTTGGGGGGTATCTGTACTTTACTTTACTATTTATATTTTTTACAACTTTTACTTTTACTTCATTACATTCTACTTTTTACTCCATACATTTTCCCTGACACCAAAAAGTACTCATTACATTTTGAATGAAAGGAAAGGAAAATGGTCCAATTCACGCACTTATCAACAGAACATCCCTGGTCATCTCTACTGCCTCTGACCTGGGGGACTCACTCAAATTCTTCGTATGTAAATTATGTCTGAGTGTTGGAGTGTGCCCCTGGCTATCTGTAAATAAATAAATAAAGAAAATTGTGCCGTCTGGTTTGCTTAATATAAGGAATTTGAAATGATTTATACTTTTACTTTTTACTTTTGATACTTAAGTATATTTCAAACCCAATACTTTTAGACTTTTACTTGAGTCATTTTCTATTAAGGTATCTTTACTTTTACTCAAGTATGACAATTTGGTACTTTTTCCACGACTGATTATTCATAAATACTTTCCTAACCCTAAATAATATACAAGATCAGAGTATTTTTAAATCTACCAATTGGTGCTGAAAAGGAGATGAATATGCGTGTATTTAGGCCTAGATGGGTTTCTTTCTTCTTTCTCCCTAATATTCTGAACTTTTCTCTCCATATATTCTATTGAGTCTGTCAAGAACATTCTATTTAAAGGTACACCAAATTTAAAGGGATGGCTTTAGATACATTTACTGAAAACCCTATTGAAGAACTCTACGACAAACTCTGTTGGCCAGCAAGTGGGAGGGTTTTCAGCAGTTGAATTAAATGTATTCAGCACGTGCATAAGGTAAGTCTGAATACCAACTACTGAGAAGTTCATAGGAAAGGTGTGTGTAGGAAAGGTGTACATTTCCTAAGTCTGGATCGGGCACCAAGTGATTTGCAATAGATTGAGTCCCAAGGTGATGTCCTTTCATCACATTTGATACACAAAATGCAAGTGAACCATCAAAAACGTTTATATTTTATTTAGGGATGTGTCTTATGGGGGCTACAATAAACACCTCAGTAAGAGATCTCTACATAGCTAGACCTCAGCTTATACCATTTTAAGCACATTTTGACTAAGGCACTACTCAAAATACAACAATGTTTTCCTAACAAGGCTAATTTGTTTTACAGTGAGCACAATAAGCTAATAAGCCTAAATCATGACACACAGGCCTAAGCAGCGGTACCGGAGTGCCAAGTCTAGGACCAAAAGACTTCTCAACAGCTTCTACCCCCAAGCCATAAGACTCCTGAACAGCTAATCATG